GAGTGCACTGTAACAAAAATTTCCGTGAAAAAACGTAAAAAATTCCGGAAACAAAAATTACCAGGAAAATTTTATCCGTATTTGTTTTTCCTGTAATTTACAGAAATTCCTTCAATTAACATAAATTCCATTTTCAAATACAGAAAAAAAAAATCCTGGTAAATTTTGTTTCCTGACCATGAAGGTGATAAAAATTTCATTGAATTAACCATTGACTTTATACGCGTGCGTGAAATAGCTTTATTTAACGTCCGCTTCCACCGAAGTGATATCGCAAATAATTTTTAAACGTAACCTCTTTTCGCTATTATACGAATCGAGAGCAAGGTATCACAAACCGCTACTCGTCAGTGGTTGAAGGCTTTCAGATGTAAGTTTGCGGTATTATCAATTCGCAGGTATGCAGACTCTGCCATAGAGACATACCGACTTACACTGGCCAACCGGTTGTACTATCCGGACTTTAGCGTGCTTGATTACCAGATACTACAACCTTATCACCCGCAGCATTAAAACATACTTTTACATATTTATGAAAATACTTACAATCTGATTACCGTATGATGAATAACAATACCCTTTATAGATCTTATAAATAATGGAAATTAGATATACATGTCAATTAATATACCAAACGTTACAAAATATGATTCTTCATATTATGGTTAATAAATTGAAATGAATACTATAACATGATGATTATTAGGAATGATTATATATGTATACGATTACTTATCGTTGCACCGTTTATCCCGTAAAACAACAGAATTAAGTCCATTACAGAACGGAATAAAACATTTTATCCCTAAATTTCACGGTACTTCCTTGTCATTCCATCGTTTATTCCGTAAAATAACAGAATTAAGTCCGTTATAGAAGGGAATAAAACATTTTATCCCTAAATTTCACGGACATTTCCTGTTTAATACTGAATATTCCACAGAAATACATAAAACACGTAATTTGAAGAAATAATTCAGACAATTAACACAATTTCTCCAAAAAATCCATCGATTAACAGAAAAAAGGTGTTAAATTACGGAATTCGGCCACATAAAAAATGGATATTTTTTACAGTGTGGTATACTATTATGGCATGATTGTAATGGAACACAAGTTATGAGTTTAATCAGAAATCAGAAAACTTGCGTGGTGTGTGCCAAATAAGTTTTCATGATACTTACGCATATACATCCCTTCCCATAATAGTATACACATACTATATTGCGCTTGATAACGACAAGATAACCAATGTATGAACGCTGCGCCTTTGAAATGTGGTTTAACGTCCTACTTTTCCGCTCCGACTGGACTGATGACGAACTGCGCTATGGCCTACTTTTATATCGAATTCCAATAGTCAATGGTGCTTGTACACGGAAGCACAACTGACAAGGGAAAAAGCGCACAGGAAACTCCCGAGGGTATTTCTAGGCCATCAGCGGCAGCGAACCCAAGATCTCATGAAAAACCGTTCCCCACCCCATCCCACCCCACCCCCCTTGCGCCTTTTAAGGCCATACGCTGTACTACTAACTGTAAGGACATACTTTTGGATTGAAAAACAACCATCTTAGCCTACAACGGGATATTACATGACTTGTGTTTCTGTAACCTGTCATAGATAACCCCAAAAAAATGAATCAATCGTTCTTATTTCATCGACATATACGTATCATTTGAAATAATATCATTGAGAATTTGATATTCACTGTATAATACTCCCGACGGCAAAGGGCTTTTGCTTTGAATTAGAAAAACAAAAGAAGTCTTATTATATTTGTAGACAAATTGTTTCTTGCGCAACATAAAAATTTGGTCCTTTGGGAAATTTTGCTGTGAATATTTTGTCCAACCTCTAATCCTGAAACAGTGTTGCCATGTGACAGTGATAAAGATAAGATATGTCAAGTCGTATTTCATCAATAATTAGGTGCTTGGTTAAAAATAAACTTTCATTTGCCTTTCTCGAAGATATTTTGTCTTATTTGAGACAGGTTAATCAATCATTTTTTGAAAAACATACAAGTAAAATTGCTGAACGTCCACCAGACAGTTTAAAATTACTTCACGGCAAAGTTTTTTAATATTTTCATTTCGTTCCCTCTATTACTGTATAGATAATGTATAATTTAATACATAGATAAATATAGGCTATATGTCTACATAACATGCAAACGTAAATTAAAGAGGAATTATTTGTGCATTGCCTTAATAGTGGTGTGGTTTACAGAGACATGGTCAATCTTACCACGAAAATTAATTTTGAATTATACAATGTTCAACATAACCTTAAACCCACCTGATTATGGACAATCGTCGCACTGTCCATTTAGAGTGGTGAATTTTTCAAAATCTTTAATTAGATCGCTAACAAAATTTGAACTAGTCGTAAATTAGAAGTTTAAAGTTATAGCTTAGTAGCAGATTGTGTTAAAAGTTTTGCACACAATCTAACCGTTCAGTTTAAGCAAAAAAATTGAAAATTGCCTCTGAACGTATTAAGAAATATAGAAGAAATTACAAATATAAATAACTATAAATCACGAAGTTTATATTGGAAATATCAGCTTCTGTTAACAAGCTATGAGAGTAGTCAACCCTTGAGAATACCAAATGATTCTTGGTTAATCAAGTGTCTTACGTAGCCAATGTTTCTGAATAGAAAAAAAACCGTTTTCGACAAATTTCACTAATGTGACTGCCCATGCTTAAATTGGATTCAACGCGCACACTCAATTCTGACGGTACAATCACTGCATCTCATACAACCACATAATTTAAATTTGGATTTTTCAGAAGTGTATCTGGACCAAATAATATACGTTCTGTTTTACTGTCATTTTATTTCAACATATACTATTCAAACAAAGTAGGGGATATTTGATTTTGGGGGCATAATACTAAAATATGCAAATGACTACGAAAAAAGTCACTATAGAACCTAACAGAAGAAACATTTCCAGTTACATGTGACGCCCAAACGCACCAATAGCTACCGCATGGAATGCAGGTGATGCTTGGGATCATCATGGGGGTCCAACCCAAGATTTGCACGACTCTGACTTTGAATGTTACAGTCATTGTGGCATTGAATTCCAGGGTGGAAACATCAGTTTAATTGTTTTAGTGACCAGAAAACAAATTTTGATATGCGTCGGCTTACCCAAAATGAAAGGTTACGTGCCCTTGGCATGCTACAGATCGGCACAACACAGGCGGTTGTGGCGCGGACGATGAATGTTTCTCAGTCTGTCATAAGCAGGCTATGGTCCAGATACCGTGATACACAATCTGTACAGGACAGACCACGCTCAGGTCGACCAAGGGCGACAACTCAAGCCCAGGATCGATTTATCCGTACCTTGGCCTTGAGAAATCGTGTCATCACAGCAAATCAGATCAGCGCTCGTCTTCAAACAGACACTGGTGTGAGAGTGAGTGGCCAGACGATTCGGAATCGACTGCATAGGGGTCACCTTCGCGCCCGACGTCCTCGCGTGATCCCTTGTTTGAGAGATCATCACATTCAGGCAAGACGTCGTTGGTGTAGGGATCGTCAACACTGGGATAATCGACGCTGGAGCAATGTGATGTTTTCAGATGAGTCAAGGTTCACTGTTGATTTTTTGGACAGACGTAGGAGGGTGTGGCGTCGTCGAAACGAGCGCTTCCAAGACGTTAACGTCATCAGACATGATCGATTCGGGGGTGGTTCTGTTATGGTGTGGGGAGGCATCACTGTTGCTGGAAGAACGGCTTTACATGTTGTTGCAGGGAGTGTTACAGGCCAGTACTACCGGGACAACATCTTGGCAGTCCATGTTGTGCCGTTCGCACGACGTCATGGCCGCCGTTTCATCTTCCAGGATGACAACGCAAGATGTCACAGGGCCAGGATCGTTACAGGTTACCTCCAACAACAGAACATCACCACATTACCTTGGCCAGCACTGAGTCCCGACCTCTCCCCCATCGAGCATGTCTGGGACATGCTTGGACAAAGGTTACGTCAACGTCAACAACGTCCTGCCAATGTCCAAGAACTTGCTGCTGCGTTGCAACAGGAATGGGACAATCTGGACCAAAATGACCTTAGACGTCTCATTAGGAGTATGCCACGTCGGATCAATGCTTGTTTGGCAAACAGAGGAGGATTTACCCGTTACTGACTTGGTTGTGATGCTGTGGTAACTTTGCTGTTTGACCCCGGGTATCATTTTACCCTTATAATGGTCAGTCTGTGCCTTACTTAGTCTAACGATCATTTGGAATAAATCGATGAATGTGAACTTCATTTCATTTTGTCATTTGTTTCTTCGTCAGTTTCATTAGGTGACTTTAATAACACTTAAAAATCAAATATCCCCTACTTTTTTTGAATAGTATATTATCCTTTGTCATCCAATCTTTAATGGCATTGAATAGGGAATAGAACAGTTTTTGAGAGGGGGTAATTTGCAATCAGTTGCTTATCATCGGCATAAGAATGTTGCCCTACACCATGTTTGGCGATTGGTTGTCCTAAATTATGTATATACATTATAGAAGGGGGTCACGGTGGCTAAGTGGGTAAGACGCTGGCTCGCTAGCCTGGAGGTCGGGTGTTTGATTCCTGCATTCATCCACATTTTCCGGCGTTGTTTCCCCTTGTCAGTGATGCAGGACGGAGGGCCTGTCTAGTCGTTCGGATGGGACGAAAAACCGACGTCCCGTGTACAAATTGGCATGCACGTAAAATATCCCTTGACAGTTGGATTTCGATATAAGAGTAGGCCGTAGTGCCGCTGTCCGTGCAAAATTTCCCTCATAGCACACTGTATGGCGACTGCCCGTCTTCATTATCCCAGTTCGGAGCAGAACAGTAGGACGTTAAACCTCATTTCATTCATTCAATCATTATAGAAAGGAGAGGCCTAAGGACTAATCCTTGTGGCACTCCACAGTTTCACTGAATCTTGGGATAAAGATCTATACTTTTAACATCATTTAAGATATACCTGCATTTCGTGCCCAGGCTTTCTTCCTGTTGATTTTCTTCTAGTATTGAATTCAGTTCTTGACGCATAATGTCTAGATCATTTAATCTCCTCTTAGTTTCACAAGTAGTATCAGTTTCATTCAAACACATAGTCAGCTACAATAAAACAAAAACATAACATTAACATTTTAATGATCTTCGAGAAAATTGAAAATGGTGTATTGTTTCTTAAATATATATTTCATGACATAAGTTTCAAGAGGGTTTTCTATAGAAATAACAATCCAATCATGAAATGATTTAGATGTTTAACCATTTGCTATTAAATGATAAAATATAGTGGTAACAGCCTAGGTTATAAATGAAATTGGCTTTAACATCCTACTGTTCTGCCCCCACTTGCCTCTTGGGTCATATCAAATGTAAAGATAAATATTGAACCCCTACATTCATGTTTATTTTAACTGTGTCAGCCATTGAAAGGCTAAAGTTCAAATAAGTTCGGTAAATGGAGTCCATTATTAACACGGTTCGTTAAATATAAGGAAAATGAACCCTTCGTCGAATAACTACTGTCAAATGTTATTTACGTGCACCGGACCTGGTTTTTCCGTGTCACCCGAAAGACTAGGCTCTCCGTCCTAAATAGAAGTAATGATAACTGTAACTCATATCTCGGGAAGATGGGATGGCGGGTGGTTTGGTCCACAGATTATTTTCAAAAATTATCTTGTATACCAAATAGACAGCTACATACAGTCTAAATTTAAGATGTAAATTTCTTTAGATTTACAATTATTACGTGGATTTTATTCCGTTTAGAAGAATGAATACGTCGAGATATAAATTTAGATTATGATAAAATATAGTTTATTTATTACAATGTTATCTAAATGTAACTTTTATTCTCAAAACATGTCATTTTCAAGAATAAGAATGTTTTAATGAACTGTTTTGATATAATATACTACATAACGGCGTGCATTAATCTACTGTCTGGAACAGTGAAATTGTATACGTATATAATATATGCATTGACGTCAGTGGCTGTAAACAACTTGCCTAAATAATCCATTTATAATAATTTACAACTAAATAAAGGAATGTGTATATAAAACGGAACATGTCGTCTAAAATAGTTTACATTATTATTACAATGAAGACAAACATATTTGAAGAGAATTCGATTGAAAAACATCTCTTTACAAAAGCAATATGGCAAAAGGCCAATAAATATTTTCCTAACTTCAATTTGACAAAAATGAGATTGGAAACGTATTTTCTATAGTGAAAATGAATTACCATTCAATCAGAACATCGTTAACGATTACAAGAAATAAAGATGAAGGTGTGAAATCAAAAGAAAATATAATATAAAATTTGGATCAAAATAACTGACGTTTTATTTGATCAATATACTTGTTTACGATAGATCTGAAAATCAGGTGTTCGCCTTTACTTAGGAATTACTTCCATGGGGGGGGGGGGGGTATTACTAACCTAAAATAACCTAAAATTGAGTCGTTTTGTAATGAAATAGGAACAAGACGTTCAAAGTTTTATTCAAACATTGAAACTTCGACCACATAGAACCGAGATTTGTAAAGTTTGCCAGTTATTACAGATGTATTATGTAAGATTTAGATAAAGAACTGTCCGTTCTCGCTATAATAATTTAGAAATAGATAATGAAAATATATTATTGAAAATTTGAGTCAAATTACTCCATTCTGGGCGAAGTGATAACTGTTTGAAGAATAGCGTAGTCTCGGTTATCATTGCTGCCGTTGTTAAAGTCTCGAATATCCATTTTTAAATTAAATGGCGATGGTGTTTCAATCCTTTCAAAATCACAACCACGCAATGATCTAGAAAGTTGGTTGGGGGCTTGCCATGTGAGTAAATGTCTAACTGATAATTTATATATCGAAATGAAATGAAATGAAATGGGGTTTAACGTCCTACTGTTCTGCTCCGACTGGGCTAATGAAGACGGGTATATATCATTTGAGGCCAAAAGAAAGACCTAAATACGTAGATTTAGCTGTTACATAATGCATCTTTAAGCGGCATCTTATTACTGCAGCTAAACTAATACCATCAGCCAGCACAGTGGGTTCATTACAAAAACACAATAAACGAATAAGATACCTCAAACATAGAACTCTCCAAAACATCAATGTCGTCTACGGTTCTGAAAAACGTAAAAAAAACAATAGAAATCAGTGGTAATAAAACCTGTGTTTGGAATCAAAGGCATCACGTTGACGTGTTTTTAAAGACAATAGCGTCTCTAATGTTCCAATGTCATTAGAATTTCAGGAAGAAAACAAGAAGAAACAAAGCCTAAAATAGATCAGAGGATGACATAAAAATGTCTGTGTCTGCGTTTACGACACTGGAAACTAAAACTGATTGATGTACAATTGATGTTTAAACCATGATGTTCATCCTAAAAGATCAATTCACCCACTAAGTAATTTAGCGCCCATAAATAGATTTGGAAAAGAAATATCAAATTAACACTATCATCATTCTAATGTCTACGTGCCTATGATTTCATTAAGGATTCTCTTAAGTAATCTATAATTTCAAACAGACAATTTGCAGGAAGAGAACAATATTTCCTTGAAAAGAAATTGCTCAGCAACTTCAAAAATAGATCGTTTGATTAACGATCATCCGGAGAGATAATGCCAAGCTTTAGAAACCAGACCACCATATTTCCTTCCCTAATTTATTTACCCACGAATGTACTGCCAACTATTTATCTATAGCGTGTTCTTCTTTTCATCCGGTTTTGCTAAATTTTCTGAAAGGTTTTATTGAATCTGAACAAATTTTCAGATAAGTCAAAGCGGTTAACAAGCACGACGCAATGCCTGATTAAACATTGTGATCTGAATTACAGAGAATTTTGATCTGGGGCTATTGTATTAATAGCATGGTTTACTTTGGTATGTCAGGCAACAAAACACACGTCCACTAACGGCTATGTAATCTGGGCTTGTCATCAGATCTATCACGATTCCAATGCTACAATACACTAAAATCAGAACAATATAATTTTCCAATATTACTATCATAAAATGAGTCATAGAAAAGGTCTGACGCGTGGGCAGCTTACATTGTTAGGGTGACACTATAAGCTTACAAATAGTGCGATTTGCAATAGGAATCCATTAGGGTTCCCAAACTTTTTAAGCACAGTAATTACAGTAGATAGAGTACCCGCGGAAACGTGTCATCGCATTATACGACCAGAATTACGATCGTAGTATACAAAATCAATTTACCGTGAAGAATCCTGTAAACATGTAAAATATCTATCTAGAAACTGGTGACATATTTCAACCATTATTAAATAATTATAACATTCTAAATGATTATTATCTCTCGCTAACTCTAGTGCTGTTTTACCATCTTCATTTACATAACACACATCTAAACCATACTCTAGAAGTAACTGCAAAAAAAAAACCCATAAAACTTATTACATATTTTGCAATAAAAGTCAATCACCGCACCGTAAACCAGCTTCCAATGGCAAAACTGACACATTTATAGAGGACAACAATCATTGGTTTATTATACCTACGCATCACGTTTCGATAAGCATCATCTTATCGTTATTAAGTACAGTGATATTTAGTAAACTGGAAGGTGTACAAATAAGCAATAACATGGATACTGTAGATGAGAAAATAAACATATTTAATACCAGATATCCCGAAAGGGAAGCAGGGTATTTGGTGGGTTTATTTTAAATGGGGAAGGCAAATTTTTGTGTTGTTTTTTCTTCTCTTTGTTGGAGGTAAAAAAAATGATGCATTGAAGAATTTACGAAAAAAAAAACATTTTGTAGATATCACTGGATCAAAAATGGTCTATTAAGATGTCAACTTACTGAAGTGTTAATGCTTAGCTTCGTCAAGGGATGAGTTGACATTTAAAGTTATATCCACGCCTACATTAACTAATGACATATTGTTAAGTACCTTTTTTATGTATGTGGGATGATGTGCTCAACTTATTGAACTGAATAAATCACAAATTAATTATCTTTTCTGGCCATAGGTCGGTGCATGTGCGCTTGGGTCCGTTATTTTGAACTGATTGGCCATTCAGACATGACGTATGAAAGGTCGGGTTACAAAACAGATACAGATCCACGGTTTAGCTAATCTAAAGTGAAGAAAGACATAAATATCCGCAAACATCAAAGGACCTTGGGGTGAATATATTTCGAAAATTTTCTCCATAACGAAATGACAAATGTCAATTCTATAATAAAATACTTAAATCAAATTTCTGTTTTTGTATCTGTGAATTGATATATAGCCGGCGAACCTAAATCCATTCCCAAACGGCCGTGTGACCTTTAAAACAATCTGTTTATAATATGAAATATTCACGACATCATAATTGTACTAAATGTCATCATTACTTAAGTTACATTTGTTAGCACCTGTAAGCATCCCACGTATCCATATTTAGCTGCCGAGTGGACCGGTGTTATATTAGTAATGCCACGGTAAGAATCTGTTCGGAGATTGGAATCTGCTTTGAGTAAAACTTCTAGACATTGTAGCTGAAAAAGATTAAAACAAATAATTGAATGAAGATCTAATAATGGATACGTATTTTAGAAAGTATGAAAATATTCTAACACGATTTGTAATTGAGAAAATCCCAACAAAAATATAAATTTAAACCAGGGACGGGTGACCATAAGCATGACTCTGTGAGGCCCTCCGACTGTAAAGGGCGGGGCTGGGTTTTTTTTGTTTGTTTTTTTTTTAAACTGACTGTAAGCGGCACTTTCTAGAGTATATCATGGGTGCCAGACCTCCGGAAACTGGTTTGCTATCTAATTCTTTAAAAACGACGACGTAAATTCAAGATTAAAAAGATCTCCCAAAAACAGTGAGACCATTAAACGCTTTTGGGACCCCCCCCCCCCATCTCCAATAGAAGGCTCGATCTCGCTTTAATTTCGTACATCTTATCAAGCCCTTCGCGTAATATCCTGCATATTCTGACACTAATTTCGATTGGCTAATGACCCAGCTGGGGAGCTTATCAGATTACTCGATCTTCGCGAAAACCAAGTCTTGCGCTTTCCAGCTAAAATGTCTACCTGTGATAACCGAGTGGCAAAGTTATAGATTCGTTCAATGTCAAGGTTTGATTTGAGTGAGTTTGTGTCAAAACATCTGCTGATTGAACGCTATAACGTAGCTATAAGTTCGGGAATTACAGACCAGGCTAGCGACGTCTAGATGTTGAACAAACACTTACGTACAAATACCTTGACTTAAGTAGGTCAGTGGTTGTACTTTTAATACTTAACAGACATGTGAATTAAGAACAAATAAGAAACGTGTGGTTTAACATTAAACTTTCCAAAGTCTTTCTAAAATAATCTGAAATGTTTGGAGTTCATTTCAGTGTAGACAGAAGGCCCATGGTGCTACCCTATTACGCTGTCACCTTGTCCTTCCGCCGGTCCGTCCGTCAGCAAATGGCTCGTAATCGCGTTAGAGGCTTCAATTTTTTAAATTCGATAATTAGACCTCAACGACCTTCCGTTCGGAAGTCTCCCTCCCTCCCTTTAAGTAAACATTGCTTACACGATAAAGGCTACATATGATCATATTTGGTGTGAAGCATTGGGATCACGAAAGGATAATCCCATTCAGCATTCCGCGAACTCCTTAACAGAGGCAATAGCTTTTAACAGATTTTTTTTTTCAATATTGATGTGAAGAATCACATTGGTTTTTTTCTGCCGAAAGATAAACCCTATTGGTTTTGAAATTTGGTGTAAAGCATTGGTTTCAGATAGAATGAACCCTGTTGATTTTCAGAGTCCTATGACTTTCTGTTCAACAGATATAGTAACTCTTCACAAAAGCTTGCGAATATGATAGAGATCAGATGTTTGAAGGCATAAATGATCTTCATCAAAGTTAATCATCCATGACTGTCTTTTTATGAGACGTGATTGTACGGCAATACTATATACCGGAAAACAACCGGAAAACACTGGAAAACACCATTTTATACTGAATACCGGAATACACCGGAAAAACACTAAATACCGGAAAACACCCTAAATACCGGAAAACACCCTAAATAGGTAACCCGGAGCCTGGTCCTCTGTGTGCGGTTTTGGACCAAGTGAGCGCCGATGAAGGAAGGTCAAGGTCATTACGATGTTCGTTATACAAATAGCCCCCACACCCCCCCCCCCCCCCAAAAAAAAAAAATTCCGATCTTTTTTTCTCCATAATTTTTTTGACGAAAAAAATTTTCTGTCACAAAGAAAAAATTCGAATTTTTCCGAAAAATTGGTTTTACAAACAAACATTCCGTAGAAAATAATTTTACAGAGAAAAATACTGGCAAAAAAAATTTGAATTTTTTTTTGAGAGAGAAATTTGGGAGAAGAAATTGTTAAAAAAAATCTGAAAAGATATTTTTCTTTGACCGTAGGCGATCGCTCGCTTGTATGTTAATGAACTTATTTCATCAGCGCTCACCTGGTCCAAAACCACACACGAGGACCAAACTCCGGGTTACTAAATAGCTACCGGAAAACTTAGAAGAGTAAACTGTGCCCGAGATTTTTTTAGAGAGCGCGCCGCGCCGCGCCGCTCCGGGAGGGATCATCGTCAGGATGGGACGTTGGTGGAATTGTCCAGTCACGTGACGAATATAGATCTTCCGTTCCTCAACCCATATTATTTCCACAGTCATTGTCATTAATCACAAATTACGGGATGATATACGAAAATGCAGGTTTACTTTGAAATAGTGCAAATGATACTTTTCCATCTACAATCTTCAGATCAAAGGATGCAAGTTCTTACACAGTGCAGCATAATTTGTGCAACAGAAGACATCTCGAATATCGATTGTCGGAAAAAACATTTTCTCGGGGACATTTTTTTCCGAATACGGTGTAAGCATTCGGTGTAAGTCTTCAGCCACCAGGAAGTGGTTAACATAGTAATGTTTTACTACGATAGTAGTACATAAAACAAACTGGTTGCCTGAGGTTCCCGGGGAGAAAGTAGCCTCGTCGGCTAGAGTCCTCTATTTCACAAGCAAAAACAACAATTGCTTCCTTGAAAATTTATCGATCAACCCTTTTCACAGACGTCCAGCTTACCACTTCCAGTCAATGCAGTAAGATAGAATATGTTGTTTTCTCATAGACAATTGGGCGAAGGTTGGGGTTTTCTCAAGGAAAACTCGTCAACAAGTTGGGGAAAAAGCTCGAAAAGTAATCCAGAAAAAAATCCTGTGTGCGGCCCTCGGAATATGATTTAATATGTTGAATATTATTATGGTTCAAGTGATTATATTTGACCCTGGAATGAGTGTGAGCTCAGAAACAAGTAGATTTTTGGCCCTTCCAACGAGATGGATAGCTCTTGGAAAGGATAGACACTTTTCAGATTACAGCCTGTCCGAGAATTGCGTGGCATCCATTTCGTTTGGTGATTAGAACACATAGCGGTTAAACCTGGAACTTCAACTCGAACTATTCATAGATTTATTAACTCGCTTTTGATGATACTTGCTGTTTTATGATGCGATTTGTTACCTAGGGAGGAGTTGGCCTAGTCGTGCCTTCCACTAATTCGTACCACCCTGATGCCAGCGTTACTGGTAAGAATCGGGAGACCGGCGCAACCGGCATATAATGGGGCCCTTCGAGGGCAGTGTTTAATCTACTGAAATACTGAAACACTGAAATTTACTGAAAACTAAAATTAAAATACAAAATAAAATATGGTCAATGATGGAGGTAGACTGGATGCGTCTTTTAAAACATTCAAAACATAATAGGCATCAATAAAATTTTGGAGAAAAAAAATCGGAATTTTTTTTTTTTTTGGGGGGGGGGGCTATTTGTAAAACGAATATCGTAATGACCTTGACCTTCCATCATCGGCACTCACTTGGTCCAAAACCGGGTTACCTATTTATGGTGCCAGTGTCCGGGTTACCTATTTAGGGTGTTTTCCGGTATTTAGGATGTTTTCCGGTATTTAGTGTTTTTCCGGTGTTTTCCGGTATTCAGTATAAAATGGCCCGTGATTGTATAGAAATAAATCGACAATACTATATACCGGAAAACACCGGAAAACACCGGAAAACACCATGTTATACTGAATACCGGAAAACACCGGAAAAACACTAAATACCGGAAAACACACTAAATACCGGAAAATACCCTAAATAGGTAACCCGGACACTGGCACCATAAATAGGTAACCCGGAGACTGACACCCTAAATAGGTAACCCGGAGCCTGGTCCTCTGTGTGCCTGGGTATAGAAACCTTTGATATTGTGTTACTTAAAGTCTAATTAACCACCTTGGGTCTATAAAATCATATATCTGTGAAGAAGAAAAAAAATATTTCAGATAACAATAATTATCCTCAATGAAATATATATTTAATCCAGCCTAAGGCGAATAACCAAAAACTTTTGCACTTTTTGAAAATGTTAATCATGCTAGAAGGGGAGATCTATAACAAAATAACATGCTCTCATCCATCAGAGAGTATTTTGAAATGTTGTTTTAGTTTAAAGATACATTATGTAAGATTTAGATGAGGAGATGGCCGTTCTTGCTATAATAGTTCCAAAATAGGTAATTCAAAATAATTAATATATTGAAAACTCCATTTAAATTACTTGTTAATCGTTTCTCTATTTTTAAATTTAATCATTAAATACCGATCATATTTTAATCATTTTCTATCTGCGCCAACCGATGTTCTAGAGAGTTTATTATAGGCTTGTCATGTTAATAAATGCCTAAATAATAACTTATATATCATTTGAAGCCAAAATAAAAGCCTGTAATAGGCTCTTACATAATGCATCTTTAAATAGAAGTAAGCAATAACCTTTTACACAGAACCATTAGTTGTGTTTGGTAGGCGTAACGTAATGACAAATAATTTGAAACATGTTGACAATAAAAAGGGCTTACTGTTAATGTTAAACATACCAGATTAAATATAATCATAAAACTCCGCTATTATAAGATATAAAAAGGAAATAAGTTTTAAGGCTGGTAAAAACTAAAATAATGACAGTCATTTGATATAAAAATTCTACACCCCCATTTTAAACGGCGAAAAAGCGGTAATGAAGAATAGAAATCTATTAAACAATGTTTTTTAATAGACTCCCACTTTACTCAATTAAACTTCCTTTCTTTCTCTTAAGTGAAAAGAGCTAAGGTACCTTAGATTGTTCAAGAGTAATCTAGAATAGATTTAAGATTACTCAAAATGGTCTGTAAACAGTTAGGTGATAAACAGTATTAGAATTTTTTGTCATGAAAGAGGTGGGGTGGTTGTTGGGTTGTTGGCGCTGCTACCTACTCGTCTATAGAATTCCAACTGTCAAGGGTACTTGTACGTGCACATCAGTGTGTACACGGGACCTCGGTATGTCGTCCCATTCGAATGACTATACCTTGTCCCTTTCCAGACCCTCCGTCCTGTACCACTGACAAGGGGGGAGCCACCTCGGAAAATCTCGATCAACACCAGGAATGAACACGGGGGTTCCATTTTAGACGACTGGTGTTATTGATAATGAAAAAGAATCTTGTTAATCAATTTTTGCGATCATTTCATAATGGTGCCATATTTTTTCCTGAAATTGTCAAATAATGTCAATGTTCCATTTTGTTATATTTCATTTATAATTTGTATATGTAGATCGAGTTCTATAAACGGGTACCCTGTCACATTTTGAACTCTTACTTTAAGGGTCGATATCTTATAATAAGGTAGTCAGTGGAAAATTACAAAACTTTTGTATAAATTTAACATGGTATCATCTACAGATAAATACTTAAGGATTACAATCACGAAATAAAATCATAAACATCAATATTGATCCGGAGTGCCGATGAAAAGGTCATTTTATGTGACACACAAAAATAGGAATGAGAAGATATTTCTGTAGGAATCATAACAAATTTATCTAATTTGTGTTTGTTTTCTATTTATATAGGGAAACTTTAAGGCGCCAAAGATTTAGATCATGTGCTTGAAAACAAAATAGAACAAAACACAGTTAATATTGTACACGTGCCACACGATTCAACAAACTTGATCAGCTAACCTTGAACGGTTCCACCGTCTCAAGCCAGTATGAACCAAGAAGATCTGTCCGATAATGATATATGTGTGTTTAGTCCATGGGTTTATACGAAAAGCTTCGACCCATGAACAAATCAACACTTAAAGTAATGATTCCTTGACAGACAGGAATATCATCGCATTTGACAATAACATATTTTTACTAAAATGCCGTATACAATAAAATATAATACCATTAACCGATCAACAATGGTAGAAATTTGTTTTGAATCGAACGGAACCTCACTAACATTTCACTTTACGACTGGGTCAGTCATAGGCGATTTTGTTGTATAAAGGCATCCAGCAATCGCAAACTTGCTTAACGTTGTGCATTCGAAATAGGTGAGGCATTCATAATAAAAGAAATGTCTTATATTAGGAACCACTAACTACTGAATTTAAAAAAAGAAGACGGGCGGATTGCCTTTAAGTCGCCTAAAGGACGATGCGACAAAACTATAGTCCTGACAATTAAGCCTTTGTTCCACCTACCAATCTGACTCGATGCACATCGAGCTCAAACGGCAAATCAAAATACAATTTTTAATTAAAAAATGTAATTTAAAACACGAATCATAGTAATATGAACTGTTCTTAAATCCTAGTCGCATAGGTTCATAAGAACTGTTATCTATTTATGGTTACATTTATAATATTATTATAGTACTAACAAAAGATGAGAGCTGTGTAATCCTGTATCTTAGGATGGTTATTATCAGTGATTAACCGAGTTATTCCATTACCTGTTCTCGTTCAACAGCTAAGAAAATCAATGATGTATAATGATCTCTATCTTCTATCAGATACTCCACCATTGGCTTGAGACAGGATACATGGTCTACCTGTTACAAAATATTTTTTTAAGAAAGAAAACGTTTTAAAATGATGGTAATATTATTCAGATGAATATTTATCCAGAAACACTTTAGAAATTCCCATTGGTTTCACCATTCAGACATTCAGTCTTTATATATTTATCATCTGCTTCACAATAAATTCTCCAATTTGGGATGATATATCAAACTTCGTGTTAGCGAAACATGATACAATCAGATGAGAGAATCGTATTATCTATTGAACTTTATATTGGAATTGTATTAACAAAAACAAATGTTTTCATTGCTACATAATGAATATAAACTTCTGGTATTAGGATGGGGAACTAGAAATTCCAAGCATTCGTGACCTTGGTTGTTTTGAGCTGGCAGTTTGTGCTCGTGCTAAAGATATTTTTATTATTATATGGATTCAGTGCCAAGTATGACAGTACACCCTAGACGACAATATTAAGAATAAACGCAGCAACCTTTTGGTAATAATATAATTTACATAATATCATGTTTGTTCATTTGTCTTGACAACATAACCGTGTGTACTAATTACACCTTTATAGACTTCTGAGTTCATATTGTTACAACAAAAATAATAACATCTTCGGGTTTCTTAATGCTAAATGATAAGTCATGGCGTGCAAAACCAAATAACATTGAGCGAGTCTCTGTCAAATTTCATTATTTTAGAAAATGAACAGAAATGGAGAATTAATGCACGTCATTTCTCATATTGAACATGGCCGTTTTGCGTCACAAAAATGTAATGTTATGTCCGTTAAAGTAAAAAATAAGGCCGCGTTGCCAGGCAAAAAACACAACCTATAGAATTTTCTGTTCTGTGCCTAATAAAAAGTAATGTTTTTTGTGAAAAAACTTCAATAATTTAATCAACATGACAATCAATCAATGTTTATTATCTCTTAAAATATAAACTAAAAAAGAGACTTGAAACCCGATGTCGAGGATTGAGTTGGTACCTCGTTTTGAATGGTACCTTTTTAATTAGTTACAAAACCAGAGACTTAAAAATACATTGTTATTATGCAAGATTTAGATAAACAGCTTGTCGCTCTTGTTACAATAGTACACAAATAATGCAAAATGAATATATTGAAAATTTCATGCAAATTACTTCATTCTGTGCCAAGTTATCACTTTTTTTGTAGTTTTGAAAAGATGAATGCATTTTTTGTTTATTATCGTAACCACGGTGCTGGTTTATTCGCGTCTTAGCCTCGCTTCTCCATTTTTAAATTAAATCATTAAATGACCGAACCGTTCTAATCTAGTTAAAATCTCTAGCATCCGATGGCACCGAGAGTTGATTATGGTCTTGTCATGTTAATAAATGTCTAATGTGAAGAAGATTTATTCCATTTTATGTTTGAATGTTGTAAAACGAAACATATAAGATCGGTTTCTTTCGATACTATTGATATGTTCTATGTAAATCGACATAATTATTTAAGCTTGTCAAATACCAGTGATCCTCATAGTTTGTCCTCAATTTCTATGTATATCTATAATGTTACAAACTATCGCAAAAGTTTGCTCTAACAAATCTGTTCTTACATTATATATTATTTATTATTATAAATTATTTATGTAATCTAATAGTAATGTCACCAATTCATGATGTAAATATTGTTGTACATATGTTATATTTGTAACTTTTGGTCTTGGACCTATATTACAGAATAAACTATTCTATTGTATTCTATTGTATTCTATTGTATTCTAAATGTCTAATAATTTATATAACATTTAAGGCCTAAAGAAAGATCTGCAATAGGAAATTCCGAATGAGACATCGAACCAGTGTTGAATGTACAGTTTTTATCAACTCAATTCCTCGTCAAATACCCGTAGACATTGCTTCCGATGTTTCCATAATGATATTGTATACGTTTGACAAGTCTTATATTAGACAATCAATTGACCCCTATTAGACGTTACACTTCACATTCCATTAAACTTCTTGGTATTTGTTGCACATTTATAGAATATAATAGTAAAAGTTCAGAATGTGTATTTTATATTGTCGAGAATGGTACAAATTTGCTAGGTAAAGATATTATCTAAGCCTTAGGTATTAATATTGATGGTTCTATGTTAACATGTAATTGTACTACCCAGTCTTCTAGAGGTCCAAATACTGTTATTGACATGAGTACAGTTATAACAGATGTTATTCCTATCGAAGATAAGTGTAACGTGGTTGACAATTGTAATGTTTTTGAAAATTGTTCATTTACTGATCCAAATGTTATTGATTTTCCAGAATTGTTTAGTAATAACTTGGGTAATGTTAAAGATTTTCTACATAAGGTTAAGGTTAAACCTGATGTTAAACCTGTTCAGCAAAAGCTGCGTCGCTTGCCATTAATTTGCTGTTCGTGAAGCCGTTTCGCAACGTATTCGTGAGTTAGAACGTGGCGATATTATCGACGCATCTGAATAGATTACGCCCATTGCGGTGGCCTATCGTAAATCAGGTGACATTCGCGTTTGTGTTGATGTACGAAAACCAAACGAATCTACCGTCATCGTGATTTAACCACCTTTATAACGCATAACGGTTTATTTCGTTTCAAACGAGTATGTTTGGTTTGGCGTCCGCGCCAGCTTATTTTCAGAAAACGATGTCTTCGATTTTACGCGATTTAAAGGGGGTAATTTCTTTCATCGATGATATCACTGTATTCGGTCGTACATGGGCCGAACATGATACTAATTTCCGCAAAGTTTTGAATAAACTCCCAATTTTAGGAATTGCGTTTAACGCGATAAATGCCAATTTAACGTTTCTAAAGTACATGTTCATTTCTCGGTTTAACCGGATATTATTCCAAATTTGTAAAATATTTCACCATGGCCATTCAACCAGTACGCGCAGTTACGCAACTTCAAAAATTTACTTGGACAACCGAAGTTCATCGTGCATTTACAGTTGTCAAGAATAAAATTATTTCGAGTCCAGTATTGACCTTATTTGATCCAACTGAAGCTAGTGGCCATGGTTTAGGTGCTGTACTTACACAGTACAGGAGTACTTCAAAGTATTCCGCAGAGAACAATTATTCTGTCGGTGAACGTGAAGCATTAGTCTGCGTATGGGCCGTCGAAAAGTGGCATACCTACCTTTGGGGTAGAAAATATGTTTTGCGTACTGATCATAGCTCGCTTACTACCTTGTTAACGACAATGGGCATGGCCATAAACCAATGCGTATTGCTCGTTGGAATGCTCGCTTACTGCATTATGATTATACCGTTGAATTCAAACCTGGTTTACAAAATAAAGTTGTCGACGCCTTGAGTCGATTACCACTTCCACTACTACACCCGCAATTAATGATGATTGTGACGCAGTTTGTCAAATCCAACAATGATGATTGATACCGTTATAAAATCGGATGAAATCATTCAAGCTACTTGTGATATTACTTGTACACAACTAATGTCATATATCCACAATGGTTGGCCGCATGTCGCGAATGATTTCGAAAGTAAAACGAGTCCTTATTTTCGAATTCGCGATGAATTATTTGTTTATCATAATTTCGCGGAACACGTGTCCTCGTTCCAGATGTTCTTCAAAACCACTTGGTTCATTTAGCGCATACCGATCACCAAGGAATTGTTAAAACCAAACAAAGACTCTGTGATTTACATGGTGGCATTAGGTGGATATTCATGCCCAGGAAACTATCAAAAGTTGTCAAACTTGCCAATTTAATGATAAGTCCGCTAAAACGCCTTCTTCACGAATGATACCGGTTCGCATGTCCAAACTTGGTTTAGATTTCGTTGGACCCGATTATTCCGCGCCTGCTCATGAACGATTTGTTATTGCATTAATTGATTATCGTAGTAAGCTTTTACTTAAAGTATCACTACATCTACTACCATTGATTTTCTTATTCGTACTTTTAGTCGTAAGTGTTATCCTGACGAAATTGTTACAATGGTCCTCAGTTTACCTCCCACGAATTTAAAGAGTTCATAAGAAAGAGAGGTATTATTCATCGCTTTTCTTCCGTTCATTATCTGGAAGGGAATTCTGAAATTGAACGCTTTAATCGAATTTTTTCTGAAGTTAATCAAGCAGCTCGTTTTGAACATAAGAATGGTAGTACTGTTGTTACAGAATTCTTAGGTACCTATCGTTCCAGTCGTCACTGTACTACTGTTGAATCTCCATCTATTGTATTACATGGTAGACATATGAGAACTTTATTAGATATTCCATGTGTTACACAACCTCCTACTCTTTTGTCTGATTATGAAATTAATGATAGAGTTAGTCATAAGCAAACACTACGAAAGGCTTACACTGATAAACGTAAAGGTGTTCTTTCTAGAGATTTCAAAATAGGTGACATTGTTCGCATAAATAAGAAACCTTGGTATGCTTCAAAAGGTCATTGTAAATATACAGATCCAGTTCGTATCAGATCTAGGAATGGTTCTTACACATACTTATATTTTAGATAATGGTCAGAAATGGAATGTTAAATATATTTCACCTTTCCATGGGAATTACTTTAAATGTGTGGGGGAAAATGGTGTTGATATGTATTTGATCCACCTAATAATGTCATTAATAGAAATAATGTTAATCCCAAATAATATACCATTTGTTCCACGAAATGTGCCAAACGATTCAATTGTTAATAATCCGGCAAGAGTTTAAAGATAATGTTGTTCATAAGAAATTGATAGTACACTGTTTTATTTTCATGTCGGAAAAAAGCGTTTCTTCGGGAGAGGGGAAATGTGGTGTCTTGATGTATTGTTATTACATACTGATGTAAGGTAGATAACTACAATTATCATTAGTGACTGTATTCCGGTTATGACGTAATAGGGATAGTATGATGGCTCCAACATGTATGAATGTTATGTCTAAGAATAAACATCATCTGCATTAATGTCGTCAGTATTCTATACATCCATACCATACTGTGGGCCAACTCGTTTTGGAACTAGAACACCCGACATAGCATGCCATTCTGTTAGATAGTTCTCTTAGCTAATGAATGTCGTCGTACGGTAGTAATAACTTGAGGTTTTTTCTTCGTTTGGCAGTGGACCAATTGTAAAAATAAAATCCGTTTGGGGGGGGGGGGGGGGTACCCTTTATTCATAACGCGCAAAGTTTTGAATGTTTGTTATAACGAAGGCAGGCAGTAGGTCTATTAGGGTCGTGGTACCTTGGTGGTTTGTTATTGTTTTTTTTTTTCAATTCCGACTGCTTTTGGTTAATTTAGAAAAAAAAACTGCCATCTTAAAGGTGGGAAATTAACAAAATGACAACGAGCATTTTTCTTCCTTTCGTAAAACTGATTCCTTTTATATTAGGAAAATTGAAGGGAGACCCCAGATCTTATATAAAAATTGGTTAAACATATATTATGCAAGAGCTAAATCTGCCTATTGCAGGTCTTTCTTTAGGCCTGAAATGTTATCTAAATTATTAATTAGACATTAATTAAATTATCCAGGCAATAAACAACTCTCGATGTCATCGCTAGCCTGCGATGTTTATTGGATTAGGTTCCGATTTGCTGTTCGACTTCCATTCATGATTTAATCATGAAATGGATAATCGCGACTATGTTTTTTATCGTAATGGTGACTGATTGGATCAATTTGACTGAAATTTTAAGCAAATTTCCTTTAAATTACCTAGTTTTTAACTATTATAGTGAGAACTGCCAGATCTTTATCTAATCTTCCATAATATATCTTTAAAGCGATGAAAGGAAAAATTCCATATTTGTCCAAATGCGCAATAAACTACCACAAGGTCTGTAAGATAACCCAATATAACATCTAAACGTTTTTAAACCATAATTTAGATACTCCTCTTGACATAAACCTTCATTTAAATAGCACAATATATCGGGTTGTCCATGTTGCAAGCTCCTTGGCAAATCACAATGAACAGAATTATCTAACTTATTTTCCGTGTAAGATTTCCTTTAATATTTAATAGGGCTAATGAAACTGCTAATAGAACAGGACGCGGTTTGAAGCATGCGCTTGTATAACCTTAATTCACATACAGGTGTCTTTCCTTTTTTATCTAAATCATATTAACACCACTTCCTGTGTGTGATCTAAAGAATACATCTAAAAGCGTCTTAATACAAAAAAATCTCAAGAGCAAACAAAGTGCACAAACCTTAATGGCGAGCAGTGCGGGGGTTAACTCATCAGAGTTCTTTTCCAGCAACAAATATTGGTTTAATGCTGCAAGGACAGAGACGCCATTTGTAATATTTTCTAGGACACACTGATGCAGTAGATTGTTTTGCGTGGTGTAATCAACCAATGTGGAACTCGATAACTTCTCCAATTCCTGCGTCTATGTAAGGGTAACAAAAAAAAGGCAAACAAACATTAATAAATTATTCTCATCCTCTTCCATAACTTGGTCAATTGGCCAAGGAAATGGGCTGTCAACAACACATGGTTTAATGAGAATAAAAATGATGGATGGCCTAAGGGTTAGAATATTTCTTCCAATCTTAAAGCAGATTTTTTTCCGTCTGTCATTTAATGTACCAATTTGAACTGAACATTGTATTACCCATAGGCTATAATCATCAGCCTGTGGCTCATCTGACAAGTAGAGAAATCAGGTAAGATCGACCGATTTTTCCCTTGATCTTCGGACCTAATCTATTAAACAGTTATAGAAGGTCTGGATTAGGATAGTAGGAGCTAAACATCCAACATCTAGATAGGGCATATTTCTATTATAGTACGTAGTGAGGTAGTTCAGCTCTGAACGTAGGTCTCATTACACTCACCCTGTACGTTCAGGAACCGTCCTATTGAATCCTTGCCGAAAATAAATCTGCTAAACGGTCTTGTGTCAGTCTCTGTGAACGCCTGAACACGGTAAAGGAACATTTCGGCAAGGATGAGTAGTGCTAGTACAGGGGAAGCAACTCCAATCGTGTTCGTCTCGTTCACGGTAGGGCCTAATATTTACACTGGAAAGGACTTTGTCAGTTTAATAGTAATTAGCAAATGAGCAGATCCGATTAGTCGACACAAAACCAGTTTTCCCTAAATATTTAATTAATATCAATCGAAAAGGGAATAATAACCTTTTCATTCATTAATATTTATAGAAAAACAAAAGACTTACAAATTCTAGATAAATAGTCATTTTTATAACTATATTTGGCGTTAGCTCTTAATAATAAAGAGCTAGATCTATTTCTTAAGGCCAACTCAAGATTTCTCCCAAGTTGCTTAGATGTAAATAAGGCTAGTTAACGTTAGGTTTGAGAATTTGGGGGATAGGTTAGCGCTAGCCCTGTTTACATCTCGTGACCTTTGACCAAACTTGAAGCTGGCCTTATGTAATAGATCTAACCGTAATAAAGCCATAATCACCACCTACCATTTGCCGAAACTGGCCTTTTCTAATTAAATTCATTATTATATCAAAAGGTTCATACTGAGTTGGCAGCACATAATCACTTTGATATTCTTCTTTCAAAAGTTCCTCTAATATTTCATTTCCAGCCTTTAGATATTCCACATTGTCGACTTCATTACATACTCTTAATGACGGTGGTAAAAACGATTGCATATCACAATATATATTCTCCTCTGTGTTGGTCCCTGGGGTCTTTGGCACCGCTAAGTGATCGCTGGCACCTTCAGAGGCGTCTTCGGTATAATTGTCTATTTTCATCTCTCTTTGTTCCTTAGTTCTTCTTTTAAACAAATCACTGATAGCTTTTCTTGGGCTATTTCTGTCTTTGTTTGAATCCCGACCTGTTTTACTCTTATTTCTTGATGATGAAGTTTTCTTCTTTTTTATCTGAAAATAACAAGATGATTCTATCTGTATGTGCCTAGAATGGTATAGGCCATTAGAACTACAAAGGAGGTCATTTCGATTTTGCAAGGAACTGGCTATAATTTTGATTTAATCCATAAATACCGTCGCGTAATGATGCCAAAGACGCTATGTTGTTGTAATTTGGGAACTGTTAAAAATGGGTAACTCAGGGTGAAGACCATGGATATATTATTTAACTAAATAGGTTGTTGCATCTTTGCACATACTCATTCGAATGGCTGCCAAAACTGGAGTGGGTTGGGTTGATTTAATTCAGCCTAATGTCGATCCCGTAGATTATATATATATATATAGTTGTATTTAACAGTAGGGTTTTATATAATGTGTTGTGCGTATGTGGCTCAGTGTGCGAGGCACGTGCTAACTAATCAAGAGGCTCTCGGTAATTTCCGGTGTGGTTTCGGCTTGTCAATGGTGCAGGACGAAGGACCTGGCAAGGAAAAGCGTCTAGTTGTTCGAATGGTCCAAAAACCGAGGTCCCGTGTACGTGCACGTAAAATAACCCTTGGCAGTTGGAATTCGAAATAAGAGTGACTCGAATCAGTCGTATGTCCAGTTGGCACAGAAAAGTGGACGTTAAACTTAATTGCTTTTCATTTCATCTGTATAGATATACCAAAAATACCTTTCCGTGAACTTCTATCTCCATGTCACTTGCAAAACATTCTGATATAGTATCATCAATCTTAAATTCTCTGACGATACTATCCAAATCATCTGATGAACTAGTCGAAGATGTGGCATGCGAATGTGTGGTTTCGTTATCTCTATATCTTTGTTGCAATGACAGCATGGTCAGTTTATCTAAAACACACGAAACATCTATACGTGCAATAAACTTATAGCAATATACAATGTTGATTTCACAACCAACTGTACAAAATAGTAACACCTTTATTATAGTTATATATATATACTAAATATAATCTATCTTAGTCAACTTCAAAGAAATAAATATGCACTCCTACAGATTATTGATATTATATTTCTTTGGATTTTTTTCAATTAATCAACCAACATAAACTTATATTATGCTTTGACAAATCACAACGACTATGCCCAGCTTAGACTCGAAATCTTAAAATAAGATCTATTTCACCTATGTATATTTTACAAACACAAAAATTCTGCATTTATTAGGTTGATCTAATATGTTATTTCGATCCAGTAATGATGAAATATCGATATTATTAAGCTAGGGTTTAATCTGTTAACCATGTTCGAAAATATCTATCTAAATCAAATTTAATCAAATCGAAAATTTAATTCATATTTCAACCACATCAAAGAGGTCGTGTCTATCGATGTAGAGAGTTGCGGCGGCTCAGTGGGTACGGTGGTGGCTCGCTATCCGAGATTTCCCGTCTTTCTCGTGTTGGCCAAGAAAGTTTACTTGCCAGTGGTGCAAGACGGGGGAATCTCAAGGGGGCAGCGTATAGTCTGTGTACACGCTGGCATGCATAACACACTGTATGGCGTATGTCCGTCTTCATTAGCCCGGTAGGTCCAGACAAATATAAACGTCAAACGCCATTCATTCATACCAATCTCGGTACAAACTATTCCACAGCAGAGAAGCAAAACCGCACAGATCAGTTCTACTTACCAAACATTGCTTCAGGATCCATTGTCTAGTTGCTTCCAAACCAGCTAACTATAATCATCATATTAAGTTCGTATGATTACGGTATTATGCATCTTCAAATATTCTTGGAACAAGCTTAATACAATATTCTAATTGCATGTATATACTTTCTATTAGATAGATATCACTGACCATTAATAAACAAACACATCTACATGAATTATACGGCCATTTCCAGTTCCATTACAATCATTCCACATATTAGTTCACAATGTTGATTTCCGTCATAATATTGCGTTTAAACAAACTGTCATGAACTAAATAATAGTATATCCACTAGATTAAATTATAATCCTATTATTACAAAATAACAACATTCCTTAAGTTATCAAAGTGACATTAACACTGATGGCTATCTATTATCTTCCAAGATACACTTATTCCCTGTAGTTAAAATAGATTCAAGTTAGTTAGTCAGTCGTACATTTTGTGAAGAAAAAAATAGTTCGCACGGTTACACAAAGATATGCTTTCACTGGACGGACACGTACATAACATTTGACACCTGATTGATGACGTTCCGCTAGCATCCTTGGCTTCTTTGATCTTCTGAGTAAAATATATTCACATATTTTTCTAACATTAGAGCTTTCGATATGTCAAAACGGTTTGGCTTGTCTAGGGAGATCTCGATGAATTTCCCCGCTGTTGATCCAACCAGATCATTATCTCATCCGATGACCCGTGACACACCTAGCCTCTAACGTCAAGACCTCGTAAATCTTCACCCTGGTCAAAGACACTTTACGACGGTGTCAACTGTCGTGACAACCCTGACTTGTTTTCTTTCACGAATATACCTGTATGGGGCTATCATTATGACTGACTTGCCTATTCATGTTGTTAAGGGATTTATTATATACCCACGATCCTATCAATCGGATAAATTTACTTGTACAAAACCCCTAAACTAACTATATATTTGTGAAGATTTCAGTTGTTCGTGCTTGACAGGCGAGACCGGGTATTAGTTTTGGAGCCACGAGTACCTCAACTGTCTCGTTTCAATGACTTGTGTAAAATCAAACGACAACGAGAAAATAGCTTAAAAGTTACGGTTTGGTTTTATTAAATAACACGTCATGTAAATTTGTTACTTATACATAGCTTTATAAATAAGTACAACCAATTAAATATGAATAAATTTAGCTTCGTATGCTGGGTACATTACTAGTATATTTATGTAATAAATAAACTATACAAAATTCAATTATAAACACCCCACCCTTTGTCTGTTGTTGTTTGCCCCGCGGTATTTAAATAGAACACTTTTGGGTGATATATTAAAGGAGCTAAATCGCTAATATTTGGGACCTACAAATGGGTAGCAACGTATATAATAATGTAATATGAATGTAAATAAACTGATTTACATTCAATCGTTTCCGTTTTTACTCTAATTTCAAAGCAGTTATGTTTGGCGAAATACGCCAGAAGTCTCATCGAATTTAAATCTCTAGCGTCTGGTTATTCCAGTCTACACCGATAGTATTTATTGCGCATGCTCTCCAGATAAGAATATGGGGTCACCGTTTGACATGACTTGTGGAATATGTCTAACCTCTTTCTTCCGGGTCGCTTGTTACAAATTGCGCTGAAACGCATTATGGTACACGATTCGTGTACCAATCGTAAAATGTTTATTTTGTCTTAAATATCGGATATCTGGGCCCTTATTCACGAAAACTTAAACTAAGATAAAATCGAAATTTTAAGAAATACTGCAATTCGATTGGCTGACCAGTAAAATCAATTTGCATATATCCAATGAAGTTGCAGTATTTCTTAAAATTTCGATTGTTTTTTAGTTTAAGTTTTCGTGAATAAGGGCCCAGAAGCCCATCTTTTCCCGTTAAGATCACAATATCAGTGTTGATTTAAATTGACAAGTAATTCTTGTTTTCATTGTCGAAGGTTTTTGGGTGATATTGAGTTAGAGACTTAGCTACTTTAAGTTTAGCTCTATCTAAAAAGATTGCCACTGATTTTTTCAAGAAAACCCCCAACGGGTATGACTGGTTGAACAACCCAATTAATTGTCTTGGTAAATGTAAATCACTGAGTGTAGATATGTAATTGCCCCACAGCATACAGAGTCACATGAATGATTTTTTTAATATATATTTACATCGACATGTTATATGTTCATGAATTCACGTAGTATTTCCGTGTCAAGATCATGCCTGGAGGTCATTTACTTATGAATGTCTGACTGAAAACAAATATTAATGTGAGCAATTCGCTAAGATTTAATATTTACATTTTGTAGCTTCATTGAAATTATAAAGTATGGAAATGGATTATACTAGGCGTAAATAAATAAAGCTTTTCTACTGATAAACTTCTAAATAATGGTTGTAATTATTCTTTGTTTCAATAAATTTTAACAAAGGGTTCAAATTTACAGTCGCTTAAAAAAGTTATATAATTGCAGTTCCCGGTGGCACAATGTGTATACAGCTGGTCGACGATAAGTTGTTTTTGCTGTAGTCTACAAAGTGAGTAAGGGCTATAACTCTAAAAGTAATTAACGGAAATTTATTAAAATTCAGTAGGCATTATGGTCTCAGTAACCTGAAAAAATACATTAAGCATGCGGGATGATAAGTTATTGTCTTTTTAGAGAGCACAAGTTTCTATAGTGTGAACAGTGACAATAACGCTGATCGACCTCAATAATGTAAACAACTCATATTGTAGACGACCGGCTGGCAAGCGAACCAACAGACGGACAATCAAGGGAAACTGCAAAACGAAAAGTCTAAGAAATGAAATGGGATTTAAAGACCTACTATTCTGCTGAAAATGAAAACGGCCATACGTCATACAGTATGTGCTATGAGGGACCTCGGTTTTCCGACCATACGTTGGCCCTTGCCAGTCCCTCGGTCCTACACCACTGACAAGGAGGAAGCACGCCGAAAAATCACGATGAACTTTCTCGGCCAACGCAGGGATCGCACACGAGACCTCCGGGCTAGCAAACCAACGTCTAAACTTCTGAGTCACCGTGGCCCCGAACAGATTAAGAAAGGTTGTTATCTATATATTTTGAACATCAAGGGAATCAAGGTATAAGTACCTCTATTTAGTGGGTTTTTTAAATTGAGATCATGGTTAAATAAGCTGTAGCTTAAAATGTCCATTTACTGATAGCCATTAGTGACGCCCAGTTGAGTCTATATAGCTTGAACCTCCCGACACGTTAGTTGAGATAACAGTATCTACAGGGAGAGGGGTTTAACATAGGCTGTGCCTTTTCCCCAATCCATATTTAGATAAAAATATGAATAAAAATATTGTTTATAAAAAAATATGTTGATTTAGATAAAGGGATATAAAGCAGGGCAGTTTCTTTTGGCGTAATGTATATAATAAATTGCTAAATTCACCTTTATTCTTTGTGACCCCGGGGTCAAAAGGTCAAATTTTCCGCTAGCCTGAAGGTCGGGTGTTCGATCCCTGCATTGTCCGAGAAAGTTCATACATATTTTCCGGCGAGGTTTCCCCTTGTCAATGATGCAGAATGGAGGGCCTGACAAGGACAACTGTCTAGTCGTTCGGATTGGACGAAAACCCGAGGTCCCGTGTACACATTGGCATGCACGTAAAAGATCCCTTGGCAGTTGGAATTCGATATAAGAGTAGGCCGTAGCGCCGCTGCCCGGGCAAAATTTCCCTCATAGCACACTGTATGGCGTATGCCCGTCTTGGAGCAGAACAGTAGGAGCAGAACAGTAGGACGTTAAACCCCATTTCATTTAATTTCATTTCCACCCCCGCACTGAGCCTCTGGTCTACTAGTTTGTGTCGAGTAGGCGTTAAACCCAATTTCTTTCTTTCTTTGCCGCGATACATATAATAAAATTCAATAGTAACAGCCAGTAAATTTAGTAGTCATAATCAAATACATGTAATACCAAAATGAAATTTGTCCCAGCCGTTATGAAAAAAAGTGGCAAAAAGTAACGACCGTTTACGGGTTGTTTCTTTTTGTCAACGAATGTATAGCAAGGGATAGCGTTTCGGATGGAACCAAAAAAGTCCCTGTACACGTTCGTGTGCACGTAAAAGAAACCTTAGGAGTTGGAATTCGAACGATGCGTAGGTAATAGCATCGCTGTAGGGCAAAAATCTTCCTCACAGCATTCTTCATGGCGTATACCCGTATTCACTAACATGGATGGAGTAGAAAAGTAGGACGTTAAATCCCATTTCATTTAATTTTCTTAAAGATATTAATATGTTCTTTCGTGTATAAAATTATTAATATGTTCTTTCGTGTATAAAATTAATAGCCAAAATATTCCACAGACAAAATATTGCATAATATGCCCACGTGTGACAAAGTTACACCTCCAGTCATCATTTACACAATAGTGGCCTGTGTACCCTCCAATTTTATTTAGAGTTTTTTAGCACTGGGAATAAATCGGGTTTGGGACGGCGATTCTATTTCTTGTCACACCGAAGCTTGGGATCGCCCCACCCCGTCAATTTCTAAATTGCAAGATTATTATGAATCTTGAGGGATGCTTGATTGTCAGTCCAGAACGTTCCAAATTGACGGAATTGCAATCGAGTGACGCGGAATTCAGTCCTGTCACAGTTATGTCAGTCCCGACAACGGAGCGGTGGTGTAAGTAGAATCGTGACGTGATTAAATCTAATGAATATGTTTCAGCTGTCATGGTTGGTTGAGATATTTTCTCATGCAGTCAGCGCACGCGTTCTGGCCCAAAATCCCATTTTCACTCGATTGTCACTATTTTTGGGTTTGACAGAATTCAATTCCGGAACGTTCAATCGAGCACCCCATAAATGACCATATAAGGAAGAAAATCAAACTTCGTCTTGCGGTAATCGATACGTGAAATGTGGAATCAGACTAGTTATTCTCTCTCCATTGATTTCAATGTTAAATCCATGATATCCATGCCCTTTAACATTTTTATAAGACCGAAGATCTTCATCTGTATAACTACACATAACCCAACATGTCACAATCGTTTGATAAAAATATTGAAGAGTTAACCATGACAAAGAATTGATATCCCTGGTCAAGGAATCTATACGCAGTGACTTGTTTACTTCCTGATCCTTCCGCCTCAAATTCATGAATATTCACCAAAACCTGGCAAAAAATGATAAATCCAAACACTCCTCTTCCACTTTAGACCAAAAACAAAGTCATGCAAATAACGTGGGGCAAAGGGAGTAAGAGAGAGTTGCTATAAATATGGGAACTACTAGTCTTAATCCGAGTGTGTTTTCCTCTGCGGCATTTGCTCTGCATAAAACGAACATTATAGTTTTAATGCAATAAATACAATATATGAGATTTTATTATATATCCTTCATGATTTATTAATATATAACAAATTAACAATGGGAGTATATAATGTACACAAGTCTTTGGTGTTGGTGATATACAACTAAGTTATCAAAATACACAAACACAAGAATCTATTTGCCCATTTTACTGACGACTAAAACTGACAAATACGGCTCATTTATCAAGCTTTTGTTCGTTTATATACCTTTTTTTTAAAAAATATATCTTGTTTTATGGTTTCATATAATTAATTATGTTCGTAATAGTCAGAAGAAGTATACACTGGCTTTACATCAATCTAACATGTCACCTTTCTGTCATCATTATGTCAGGGATGGGTCGTATTGTCATGTCAGTGTGCATATCCGTCTGTTAACACATATCCACTATAGCAAAGCTGGGTAAATTTGCTCTCTATACATAAGTACTTTCAGTGCAAAATTTGCCATTTATTTTGAGAAAACGTCTAATATAGAACAGTCTTTTCCTGAAATGGCACTCCTCTTCCAGTTATAAAATAAGCGCTGTATACCTTTAAGAATAGCGTACTTGCTCTTTCGTGAATAGTTTATTGTATGGTTATGACAGTCTTTCAATTCTTCTGATCTGAAGATCATTTACATGTTTATGACTCGACGGTACTAAATCAGAGTTAACCTAAATCTTCAAACTATACCAAAGGTCACCTCTATGTACAGTAGAAAAACACAGTGATAAAAACATGCAAAATTTGTTAGCATCCTGATCCACTTTGTCAGTTTTCATATTAACGTAACACTTGTTTCTGTTCTGTTGAGCTACTGCGACTGAACCGAATCAAAGGACGCATTAAGGATTAGGTTGTTTAATGAACCAGATACGCTAACACGGCGATGATGATCGTTATTCCTAGATACAATTTGGTTACATTTATCAGAATATGGAGTGGGCATTAAACAAATCAATTTATCGATAACAAAACGTTCTGTCACCTTTAAAAAGTCTCTTCTTTTGATATATTCTTTAATTTCCGACTCCAGAACTTCTTTTGTGAACTCACCCCATTCCATAATCAGTATCTTGTGACCCAATGTTGTTGACTCTGAGTTAGCATACCTGAAACTACTCATACAAATATAACTGCGCGTAAAATTCTTGGATATAAGAAAAAGGGTGGATTGGCTTTGGTGAATTTTATGTTTGACCTCATGCAGGAAGTCATCATCAGAGCAATTTTCAACATTAGCAATATACACCTTGAAGCGCCAGTTCTGCTGAGTCAAGCGCGGGAATAATGTTTTATTAACCCACCATTTACATTTCAAGTCCATTTCGTCATAAATGACAACCATGTCATAGAGATATCGACGGGGTATGGCGAACGTTTTAGAACTATGAAATCTTTCAATTTTTAATCTTGAGTAACCAAGAGCGATTAAGTTTCGACGAAAGCAGAAAATAAAGAAACCCAAACTAATGACAAAGAGGACAAAACATGAGCCGGCAACCGACACACCAATAATTAGAAACACTGGGTTGCTACACACAAACATCTCAGGGTTCTGTCGAATTATTTCAGTATGACCACAGTACAATCTTTTTCTGTCATAAATTCTACTTCTGTGGGAAATAATCCACTCTCGAAATTGTTTATTTGCACAGTCGCACTTCCATGGATTATTCGAAAGGTGTATCCATCTGAACTCTGAAATATCTGAAAGTTCAGATAAGCTGTCTGAAAGTAAATGTTCGATGTCATTAGAGCGTATATCAATGATCTGAAGATTTCCTAATCCCCGAAATAAACCAGGTTCTATGTATTTAATTTGATTGTTTTTTAAGTGCACTTCTTTCAAGTACTTCAGATTTTTTAAAACGTCGGCAGGTAAACTATGGATATAGTTCCTACTTAAATCAATTATCTGTAGGAAGGGCATGTTCGAAAATATATTACTACTTATTCCAGCAATTCGACTACTGTTCAGGTATATCTCTTCAGCATCTATCTTGGAATCTGCAATTATTTGAAGGTGACCTGCATTCCAAAAATTGTTCCCATCTAAGTATACGACTTTTACCGAAGTTGGAAGACGACTTGGAACTGTTTTAAGCTTATCATGGGAACATATAATAGTTTCCGGTGTGCTATCTTCTTCTCGTGAATAGCATCTGCATCTATCCGTGCAGTTTGAAATTGTACACAAGAATAGTTCTTTGGGCACTCCTTTGATGGGCATTTCTCCGATCTTGGGATAAACTATGCAAGCTTGAACCCGATAGTTGTTCGTTCGAATTAATCTTCCATCGAAGCTTTTCTCCTTCAGCCATTTCATTTGGCAAGTACAAACTGTTGGATTTTCTAAAAGGTTAAAAACAGTCTCTTCATTGCAAATGAAAGGCGCGAATGAAGTGATGCGGTTTTTCGATAGATCGACAGTGTGAAGATGCATCATGTTAGCAAAAACATCACTCTTTGTATGGGTTATTTTGCAATTTTTACAGTAGAATTTCTGAAGCATTTTCTTCTGTCCATCTGGATTTAGCGCGTGTGTCAATAGACCAATTGGGTTGTTCGAGACACGAAGTTCGGCGAGCGAGTACAAAGAGTTGTTTCTAAACAAACCATCCAGTCGGTTGATCTTGTTGTCCCTTAGATCCAATATATGCAAGCTATCCAATCCGCTAAAAGCATCTGAACTGCCAATGGCATCAATCAAATTATTACTGATATCTAATAAATTTAAATTGCCTAATCCGGAAAACATAAAATTGTCCAAACTGGTTATTCTATTGTATTTCAGTGACAGAACTTCCAGTGTTGGCATTTGGGAAAACGAGCCACTCGGAATATGAGTGATCCTATTGCTAGTTAAGATCAATTGTTTCACATTAAAAAGACGTTCTGGGAAATCAACGATGCGGTTGAAGGATAGGTCTAGCTTTTCTAAGCTCAATGGAAATTTACAAAATCGAATAGTATCAATGTTATTCCTGGATAAATTTAACATTCGCAAAGAGATCAAGTTCTCAAAGACGCTGTCATTAAAACGGTAAATGTGGTTGTTTTCCAGATCAAGAGATAGAAGACTGCTGAGTTCGGCAAAAGCGCCTGAGGTTATATTTGAGATATGGTTATTATCTAGATGAAGATGCTCCAATTTTGTCAAATTGCCGAATAGATAATCCTGGAGATTTGTCAACATGTTATTTCCAAGATCCAAAGTTTCGATGTTTGTTAGGTCATTTAAGTTTCTATAAAATTCGTTGGACTGAATCTTGATTCTGTTCCAACTTAAGTTCAGATGAATCAAATTTTCTAGACCACTGAATGCGCGTGCGTGTATTGCTTTGATATCGTTGTTGCTAATGTCCAAGAAACGGAGACTTGGATATCTGTTGGAAAATACGGACTGTGATATCACTTCCAAATCATTGTCAGAGAGATTCAGATACGTTACAGATGGGTGGCCTTCGGCGTGTGTCTTCAAACCATCAATCATATTCTTAGACAAGTCAATCAATCTTAACTGACTGCATTTTGCCAATGGTGAAATGTCTGTTATTTGGAAACTGTTTCCTTTGAGATATAAGTTCTGTAATGATTGTAAACCAGCACAAAAATCGTCATTAATATCAGAAATAAAGTTCTCCGAGAGATCCAAATAATGTAAAGATGTTGCTTCGATGAATGGTGTTAAGGGTAAACTTTTGAGTAAATTATTGGTAAGATTAAGAAACAGGAGACGTGGAATATTGCGGAATGATTGATCTGGTATCTCAGAAATATGTGAGTTACTCAAATCAATCACCTGTACGTTTAATGTTGAATCACTATTACAAGAAAATATGTCCCAGGGGAATAATTCCAAAGACAGTTTTTGAAGCACAAGAACTGTCAAGTTTTTCAGTCCACACAACAGTCCAGTTGTTATCCGTCTTAATGGGTTATTTGATAAATTAAGGAATCGTAAAGATTTGAGTTTAGAGAACATTGTCATTGGAAACTCTGTTATGAGGTTGTTGGATAGATCGATCAGCTCAACATTTATTAATTTATCAAATAATCCGGAAGAAACGTGACCAATTTGGCAATAGGTAAACCCATCCCTCTGTTTATTCTGTCCCGGATTGGCAGCCAGTGCTCCATTCTTGCACAAACAGGCATGTTTATGATTTGTAAACACGGCTTGCTCCATGCACTTCACTGAAAGATATTTGATCGCATCTTGGCTGTAGCTCCATCTTGAGGTGACATCACTGTATCCATAGTTTCTCATGCAAATTAGATTGTCACGTACACTATCATAAATGCATTCAGATTCCTTTTTAAAGTCATAAGAAAATTTTATCGTTGTTCCATTTGGCCATAGCACATTATACACTCTTTGGGGTACATTTTGGGAAATTGTCTGTGTAATAACCAGAACCATAAACATTAAAAGGGTAATTTGGGCCATTTTATTTCTTGATTAGTTGGGTCTTCATTCTGAAAATATACGAACAGAAAATGAATAACAGTACACACGTAGAGCGTCCAATGAATACATTAAAATATTAAAGCAGGAATATTAAATTCAAGAAAGTTGTACCCTCGCCGGCGCAGTAAATAATTTAATTGTGTTTACAGGTTTAAGAATGATGCCTGTGTTGGATTCCTGTGTGTATCCCAAACGCTGTCTCTGTCAACATCATCATCAAGGTGAACGGGGAGCTGCCCATGACCCTACGGTGTTGGCAATATATGAAATGAAAGAAAAGGTATATTTTTCCGAAGTTGTACAATTCACTTGGGTTTAAAATGTCTGTAGGAATTACATATTATATTGCTTAATATAACACTATTAGTAGGCCTAACTCAGTAAGTGCAGAAGAACAGTTCTACACACAAACCGGGATCATTAAGACAAACCCGCGGGCAGTGGCAAGACATACAGTCCCGGGTCAGTATTGATACAAGCTCCATTACACAAAATGAAAACAAACTCCCAAAGAGGGGGACAATCCACGAAAAGTTAAATTTTCCAGCCCCCCCCCCCACCACCTAATCTCGACTATCTTCTTTCGGTAGTATTTCTGTTGATATTTCTTCGTTACGCCACACACGAAGGCAGGACAATGTACTGTAAACTTAAATTTTACGGGCTTTATGAGTACGTGTTTTGGTTTGGCGATAATAAGTTGATTCTTTGTTTTGAGTTTTTTATTTGATTTTTTGTTTTTTTTGTTTTTGTTTTGTGAGGGGGAGGGGAACTACACACATCGTTTCGAAATTAATTTCAATTTACGAATCTTAATGAGGCATTATGCAAGAGCTAAATATGCTTATTGCAGGTCTTTCTTTAGGCCTTAAATTAAATGTTGTATAAATTATTAATGAATCATTAATTAAAGATACATTATGGGAGATTAGATAAAGAGCTGACAGTTCTCACTATAATAGTTAAAAACTAGATAATGTAAAGGGAATTTGCTGAAAATTTCAGACAAGTTGATCCACTATTAACCGAGAATTAAGCCATTGAAATTTCGGGCTAGCCTCGATCATCATTACTAAAGTCAGTGCGATAAAAAAAAACATAGTCTCGATTATCCATTTCATGATTAAATCATGAATTAAAGCTGAGCAGCAAATCAGATCATAATCCAATAAATATCGCAGGCTAGCGTTGACATCGAGAGTTGATTATGGTCTGGATAAGTTAATAATTTAGATAACATTTCGGGCCTAAAGAAAGACCTGCAATAGGCAGATTTAGCTCTTGCATAATGTATGTTTAACTTACTAAGACCATAATCAACGCTCGATGCCATCGGATGCCTCCGATATTAAAGATACATTATGTAAGATTTAGATAAAAAGCTAGCCATTCTTGCTATAATAGTTAGAAAATAGATAATGTAAAGTGAATAATTTGAAAATTTCATTCAAATTACTTTATTGCGAGCGAAGATATTAGCCTTTGAAGGTTTCACAAGACGTGTGCAATAATTTCAACCACGGTACTGGTTGTTCGAGGCTAAGTATCACCCCTCCATTTTTAGCTTAAATTAAAACATGGCTGAACTGTTCTAATCTATTTAATATCGGAGAAATCCGATGCCACCGAGAGTTGATTATGGCCCGATTAAGTTAATTAATGTCTAATTAATAATTTGGAAAAAATTTCCGGCCTAAAGAAAGACCTGCAATAGGCAGATTTAGCTCTTGCATAATGTATGTTTTAGCAGATTTAAATACGTTTTGTGGTCGACGCGAACCGTAAACCTAGATAATCGAGACTACGGGGTAGTGTTATTATATCGCCAATAGCTTGGCTCAGAGTGAAGTAATGTGACTGAAATGTTTAACATATTTGAACTATTATAGCTAGAACAGTCAGCTCTGTATCTAATCTTACCTAATGCCGCTTTAACGATTATATTCAATTAGTTCATGATGTATACGTCTTAAATCTTATGTACTTATATCCTGAGAAATGCCCGTTTCGCAAGGAGATACAAGCCTGCCGCCGTCATCCAAATTAATTACATCAGGCCACGCATCCTCGGTATACCCAGTGGTTTGATTCCGCTCTACTCCACTAATCCCTGAATTAATCGGGGGGGGGGGGGGGGCACGTTTTTAAGTTATCCGTCCTTGATGATTGTGCTATTTTATCGTTCAATCCCATAAATCGTTAATTGCAAAGGAAGGTGGCAAAGGGAAATAAATCTCATCGGACAAGGTTAGGAGTTAGCCAGAAGGTAGCCTAAATGAGAGAAGTTCAAATGCGTATTTATTAACAACAAATTATATAATATTATATTAATGAAGACCTGGCGTTTATAATAGGTTCAAGAATTGAGAATCTTTCGTTCGTTCCCGGAGTTTTACGTCCATGTTATATCGTTACAAGTTACTGTTATTTCAAATTGCCAAGTGTAAGTTCAATGTCAATAATAATAAACATAATAGAATGAAACATTTCAGACAAAGAACGAATAGTAATAATAACACAAGTCAAACATATAGATGTTATACATATTTGAAATAAGCCAAACATACTACAGATTTTTATAATGCAATTAAATATAAATGAATTAGAAATATATACATTATTTACATAAATCATTCAGTAAATGGACATGAATATTGTTATCTACCCTTATAAAAACGAACGCAAAACGACTGGTTTGTAAATTGTTTTTTGATTGGTTCGTAGACTTTAGCTAAAATCAAGGCCAGAGCAGATAATTTGAAATCGTGGAAACCCTATGGATTAATCCAGGGTATAGTGGAGTAGAACGGAATGAGAACACTGGGGATACCAAGGATGCAGGTCATGATACTTTTTACAAATTTGGGTCTATGGGTGATTGATGTTCATGTCGTTTTTATAATAAAGGAGCTAAATTCCCTAACTCTATATTTTCCACAATATTCGAAATTAAAAAAACGAAGTGGTAATGAACAAAGACAACATATCCTACGGGACAAAAGTAATTAGTAATGACTGATTTACAAACGACAAAATAATAAAAAAAAAAAAACGTGTAGAATGGACTTCGTAGACGTAAAATTAATTAGATGTTACAATATTTTCCCTTAAAAATGAATATGAATCACTTTATATACATTCGTATTTTTAATGTGTGCTTTGAGGTCCATTTTCATCTTTTTTTTAAAGGGACAATAACACTCTTGCTGGCTTGACAGCTCCAGAAAATATAAAAAATAGCCTTATTCTAAGTACTAGATGTGTTAGTGTCCTACCTGTTGTGTAAATTATCCATTAAATTCTATTTTACTTGTCCAAAAGGTTCAAAAATATCTTTAAATCCAAGTCACATTTGAAAAGCTTTACGTCAGGCTTTTCAAATCATTTAGTTGAATTTTTCCAATTTTTTAAATTAGATGTGTTAAGATGAAATTTGTATCATCAATTAATTGGAATATTGTAAAATAGTACAATTTGTTGACCAGAATAAGGATTGGGACATATTATTCATTTACAACAAGAGTGGTATTGAGCCTTTAAAGTTCAAAAAAAAAAGACCCATACACCCTTTAACTAAGTTATAAATCATCAACTGTGACATTTATTGTATCTAAAATAAAGTAAAATCGTCATTTTGGCGTATATACATAGAGCTTTTTAAACAGAGAAATTCAACACCTCGTTTGACGTCACTTTTTATTATGAATTAATACAATGACGCGATTCAATTTCATGGATGCAAAGCATTGTGATATCACATAATGTCTATATCATTATCTCGTGCTTTGAGTGCCCATCCTGTCCCATATCTGACGATAAAGGATAAAGCACACGGCCGAGAAAATTTTCTCATAAAAAGTGTTGATTTACAAAACAAATTATGTAGCTGAGCAGCGGGGGGGGGGGGGGGGGCGATCCCCAAACCCCACTCTGGATCTGCCCCTGCAGTGGCATTTACTACCAGGCTACCAGAAATATGTACATAGATGTTAGATTTAGTCTTTACTTTCGTAATTGATTAAAATTTGTGTAATTTGTTAAATTAATGCATGCGATGTGTGTTTTGTCGAAATTTTTGTTGTGGTCCCAATCCATAAACGGCACAGTGTCGTATTGTCTGTTTATAGGAACCATGTATATAACTATAAATATAGCACACCATGCAGTGTTTCTCAGTTTAAAACCTGTTGAACCGATGCGATTTATAATAAATGCCCTTTAAATTTTTATGAAAATAATTTACCTTTTGTATTTCCAGTGAAAAGTCCACGAAATCGTCCTTTGGCTTTGCATCAATTTAATTTTTACGTCGGGGTGGTGTAGGCTATGTAGCCTAATGAAAACATTGTTTTAGCGTGGATAAAATATGCCCTCTGTCTTCTGCTTTACACATTTCATTTGTCAAATGATGTTCCGCTTTATAAACAGGTTATATGAAATGACAGCCCATGTCACTAGATTCGGGGGCAATAATTCAAGATTTGGATTATATAATATATCATAAAGTTGGTTAAAAGCTGGATTTATTCACTTATAGTTTTAGTTTTGTTCTGGTGTTGATGTCAATTTGAAAATCAAGGTTATTTAAAGTTTGGGTTTACATGGGATATTTTCCTTTGCATTCATTTAATATTGTTCCGTCATTTTACGCGAAGAAGGGGTTTTTTGGTTGTTTTAGTTTATTTTTCGTGTGTGTATGCGCTGTCATATTCTTTTTATTTAAAAAGGAATGACCAGGAAGGTGAGCGAAGGTGTAGAGGCGCTTGTTTGTGGTGTTCTAGATTTGTTATTTTATTCTATGAAGGACTACTGTCATTTATGCTTTTTTATTTTATGATCAGTAGGGGAATACCGCGTTTTATCAGTGAAATAAAAGTGTTATTTCACTGGCTAGGTTTTTTTTACCTAAAATGATTGTAAAATCATAAAATAAATAGAAAATTTGTCGTTTTGTCGTGAATAACATATTTTATTTCATCTCTAAGCAAGAAAACGTTTATATTTTCACGAATGCGTAGCATTCGTGAAAATATAAGTTTTCTTGCTTCTCGATGAAATAAAATATGTTATTCACGACAAAACGACAAATATCCTCTATATATTTCTAGCTGGGACAGACCCGAAGGCGTGTAGGGCATACAAGGAAGTGCCTTTGATAGACAAACCATTTTAAGCCCAGCGCAGTGGGCGTGTAATATCCCTTGGGGCTCTTGAAGATCACTGATGTCCTGTCAAGACTGAGCAAATAAATTACAAAGGGGAAGCGTTTGTTGTTGGCGAAAGTAGATGTTATTGTAGATTAAAACACAAAATATTTTCTTTGGGTTTTTTTTTTATATAATATTCTCATCACATCTCATCCTATTGTATCCGTGAAGTGTATAATATAGCCCTAATTATGCCACCGATATAGACTGTCTTTGGTAGATGATGTTGATAAAGAAATGTTTAAAATTGATAAGTATTAGATGCATTTTGATTTATTAAACAAACCAGGGAAGAAACCCCAGGTCTTGAGTAAACGAAATTTCTGCTAGTACTTTTCACTATTTTAGTAGTAAAGCAGGTTATGTACATTGTAGGGTAATTGCTCGTCATCATTCGTTATTTATATACGTTATTTATTTATTTATTCAAAATATTTAATATATAATTGCAATACAATTTAACGCGAGACATGATTATTCGGTCTTGAAAGAAAACGGGTGATCACTGACCTCTGGATTTTTGTAAGAGTTTTGTCCCTTATTTTCTGCTCTCTGAGATATTGAGGTGTAAATGGACAGTTGTCTAAAATATGGCCGACAATAGTTAATTTATTCGTCAATTTTGTGCATAAGTAGGTATATTTCACTTAATTGATTGTATCTTGTTATGGTCGCTATCTGGTAGATTTACAGGGCACTTCAATAAAACATAGCTATGGCATAGAATGCGTTTTGGCCAAAATGGTTTGTGTTCGTGCTTGTTTGCATTTTGTTTCCGTGGCCCGTGCCCGACGTACGGTGGTGCCGGAGCGAAAAGTTAGTTGATGTCTAATAATAACGCTTAGAGTTAGACACTGGGTTTCTAATATATCAGAAATAACAAATACATACGAATTCTAGATTTGCCTAACAATCCATAAATACTGATAACTTGTTCTCAGTTTTAAACTGCAAAATGAAATTTGACATACATTGCACATCATCTTTTTATCGTACAAGGCCTAATAGTAATAATACAGTCAGTAGTAATACTATTACTATTGTCTATTAAAAACATGCCAAATATAAAATAATTGATCTATCATAGAGACTAATTATTTTTACACTGTTCATTATAATTCATCATATTTAGGCCTAGTCCGTTAAAATAACCAGCAAAGCTGAAAAATGCTTGGGACTGGGAGGCAGTTTTACATCAAAGCAAACTTTTGACACAAAATATTAAAAAAAGTCCCTATTATGGACTATAAAGATTTGCAGAAAGGGTGTTACTCAACAAAATGTAAATGCGAATTAAAACATTCTAACCCATTTAGTGAATTCATCCCTAGTATATAATATAATGAGAGTCAAGGTAAAATTTGACTGGTTTTGTTTATCCATATTTTTGATTTTCAAAAGGAGTTATATCTAACATTTAATCATTTAGACAAACATGTATCAAAAGTACCAATCTTAATAGGCTAATATCTTTATATACACAACTTTTAGTATGAAAAGTTCATTGAAATCAATGGGCAAATAGTTATTCTGTTATTCTTATGAAACGGCTATTTCTTGGAATGACTCAAATATTTTTTGATATTGCATAGATTTCCCCTTTTTTGGTGATATTGGAATATAGCATTGTTGAACTTTTAAACAAATAACGAACAAGGCTCATTGGAAAATAAAGTTGTTCGAAAGGTTAAAAATACAGTTTTTGCCAAAATAGCGCCGTTTTTGTTAACCATGGATATTTGTAATTGGCTACATGATGAATATCTTCAGTAGATATCAAATGTATGGAGCCAAACATAGTCAAAATTTGCTCTATTAAAAGTTGAACTTGGCACAGCGAATGTGCACGCTTCATTGACTACTGTCTGATTCATCGTAAATTTTAAACGGATTCCTTCGATTATGAACAAACTACTTAACTTTGGTTATTATAAACTTACCTGTGTGTTTGTAATGAACTCCCGTTCGATAAAATCCATTGCACAACTAATTATCACAACGATGAGAACAATTTCTCTCTTGAAAAATTTGAAAATTTACTTGTAATTTCGACAGAGGCGATGTCAACAATGTCTTCGTGACGTATTGGTCGAATCCAATATACCTGTTGCGGGGGTTGGTTAACATTGAAAGATAGTTTGACAGCGCGATCATTTTGATCGTATATGGGTTTGGGCGACGAAAAATATCAATTGAAGGCAATTACATAGGAGATTTATATGGAAACCATTGATCGCCAGTCTATCAAATTTTCTTCACAATTAAAATATCACTGATTGCACGGATACTCGTAAAAATAAAGTCATGAATAAACTATAAATATCCTATCTTCTTTATGTTATAAATAATTTAACAAGGATCATGAAGCTTACCTCCGAATTCTCTGAGTGTATTTTTAATTTTATACGCATTCTTTCGATCGAATAATAACCGCTTCAGTAACATCTTTAAGCGTGTTGCGGCAGCTCTCAGCGTGTCTATTGCCGTATTGGGTGCCCGGGTGGGTATATAATGCTACTAAGCCCGTATGACCCCGTAAGAAGCGGAACATTAATTCTCGATTCGACAGTTTTGACCGAAGTGTGATAAAGCCCGTAAAACGAATGTATAGTTGTGTTTGTGAGGCATGCGTGTTCAAAAGTAAATAATCCCATCCGAGTCGCTAATCAAATAATTAGAACAAAATATTTCAAAACGTAAAGCTATAAAATTTGCAGAGATTTTACTAGAATGTAAAAGACGGTAACTAAATACAGGAATGCGGGTAGTTATGTGTGCGAACGCTCAAACTCAATGCCAATTGTCGTAGGTATCCAGACCACTCGGACCAAAGACTACTCGGACTAAGACCAGTCGGACCAAAACAAGACCAGTCGGACCAATTAAATTATATTATAAGGCTAGACAATATGCTATTTATTTATTATTAAATCACAATACAAAGAAGCAAATAATTCTTATACGGAATTCTTATATTTAGAGTTGTTTGGTTCAATTTTGTGTACGTAAATAAATCAACGATTAGTTTTAAAATTAATTAATAATGGTGCAAAAAAAAAATATCAATCTAATTTTTCTTTACTCTTGCAATGAGACTCGGTATTTCCAGACTTTTGACAGTTTCTACATATACGGGTATACTGTTCTTGTCTGATAGCCTAATTTTACTTTTTCCACATTCGCGGTATCCCCAGTGGTTTCATTCCGTTCTACCCCACTAACCCCTGGGTTACTATATATGGGGGGGGGGGTGGAGACACGTTTTCAAGTTATCCGCCCTTGATGCGTTAATATAAACAGCACATAATAATACGAAGACCGGACGTTTATATGCCCCTTTTTAATCGTGACTACAAGTGTGGTTCTCGATATTTTGCGATTTGGAATACAATTATCAATTTATTCAAACAACACGTTATTATTAGTTCGAGTAGTTATATTAAAACACACACAATTATCAATTTATTCAAATAACACTTTATTATTGGTTCGAGTAGTCATATTAAAATAAACACAATTATCAATTTATTAAAATAAAACTTTATTATTGGTTCGAGTAATTATATTAAAACAAACGCAATTATCAATTTATTAAAACAACATTTTATTATTGGTCCGAGTCGTCTTTCTGTTGGGTCCGAATAGTCTTTTTGTATGGTCCGAGTAGTCTATTTGTTTGGGCTGAGTGGTCTATCACTTGGTCCGACTGGTCTTGAACCGAGTGATCTTTGGTCCGAGTGGTCATGGATTCTTGTCGTAATTGTACTTGAATTTCCTATACTGTCACCCCTAATACGAAATGATATCTTCCGCAGAGTGACGTAACCATCTTCCATATTGGTATTTTTCTCTGGGAAAAGTTTGTGATATTTCAATTTTTCAAGAGAGAACTTGTTTTCATCGTTGTGATAATTAGTTGTGCAATGGATTTTATCGAACGGGAGTTCATTACAAACACACAGGTAAGTTTATAATAACCAACGTTAAGTAGTTTGTTCATAATCGAAGAAATCCGTTTAAAATTTACGATGAATCAGACAGTAGTACCGAACTACATATAATTTCTGGCTAGACACGCTGCACAAGAATACTTAGCACTGTATTTTATGAGGCTATAAATAGCCATAACACATGAAGTTTTCAATACATCTATCAACTATTAAAACCTTAAAAAATCTATTGTTAACGATTCTGAATAACAGTAATATTTAGATGCTTCCTTGTTACAGCAGCTTTAGAAAATTACGTTTGTTTTGTTTTTTGATTTGCTTTATTGTGAACCATACAGTTTGGAGTGGCATTTTTTGGTTTAGTAAAATTAATATCTCCGTAGTTCCTTTGTTGGGCAAGAATAGAATACTAGTAGTATTTTCCTTTTGCTTTTACACGGTTTCCAAAACAATTGATGAGTTCCATACATAAATTAGATTTATTGATCTAGCTTTTTGTAATGTTTCATAGAAAATGGTCATGATTATCCTGGCCTATCAACCAGCCAGAGAACTGTCAGTAGACTGGTGAAGGGGGACTAATTTCAAACCAAGGGCAGGTAACCTATTTTGCACTCAAAAATGTCTGAATATAACGGTTACTTGTCGTTTATATTTTAAGTCTATTTTTTTTTATTGATGTTTGGTTTTAACTTGTAACACGGCCGTTGATTTAGTGATTATAAATGTGAGAAAGTATGTTAATCATACATTATGCAAGAGATAAATCTGCCTAATGCAGGTCTTTTGTTAGGCCTGAAATGTTATATAAACTATTGATTAGAAATATAATAACAAAACAAGACCATAATCAATTTTCGATGGCATCGGATACTCAAGATTTTAACTAGATTAGAACGGTTTGCCATTTAAAAATTATCACTTTGCACACATTATGTCAAAATTTTCATTTTACATAATCTATTTTTGGGCTGTTCTAGCAAGAATGGTCATCTCTTTATCTAAATCTTACATAATGTATCTTTAAGGCTTGTTAATATTGTGGTATAATTGTTGAAATATTTGGAGATATTTATTTATGACACCCTATCAAATGTGACTAATCTAAAATTGCATATTTCTTAGAATAAAATATTAAACTCATTTTAAATTCTTAATTTAAATTTTGTATATTACTACAAAGTACTAATAAATATTTCAAAATGATCATTAATTTACTTTGTGGCCTTTTTATCAAAATTGCAGGAAAACAAGATTCTAACTTTGGCTTCCAACAACATTTGCACATTTACAAGTAGTGGTATTAATATTCATTTAGTGCTGATCAGTTCCTATACAGGCTTTCAAGCTTAAATTTTCTAAATTAGAAAAAAAAGTGAAAAAGTCTAAAAAAATTAACATATTGTGTATCATTTTGCCCAATGCCTGCTATTGGAAACTGACATTTTTCAAACTTGGATGCATGTAACTTTCTCACAAGTTATGCTCTGTGATACGGTAAGCTAATTACAGTCTTATTATAGTTAAATCCTATAATTTATATAAGCTTTTTTCTTTATTTAGTTTGGAGGCAGAATTGAGAATACATACAGTAGCTTGTGTATGTGGGAAGTGCAGTCATGTCAGCTTCTGAAGAATCTTGCTTCTCTGGTGGAGCAAGACCCAAAACAACCTTAGCAGTTGGAAAGAAAGATAAAAAGAAAACAGACTATCTAAAAAATGAACCAAATAATTCAAAACTCCACGAATATTTAGAAAGCAAACCTGAAAGAGACAGTGTACAAATTGTGAATCGACAGAGAGACACATCTGGAGATAATGGAGATGGTATCAGTGTAATTAAACCATTATGGAACAAATCTTATCAAGATTCTGTGCCCTCCTATAGTAGAATAATGAATTATAATTGTGGAACTGATTCAGATTTCAGTACAAACAGCATTAATCTCTTTAGAACTAAACAACCCTGTTTGCAACCTATAGTGACTTCTTCGCGAGTTAATAATGCTGATAGCATTATGACTGGTTCTCTTCATAATCTGAGTTTAGAAACACAAAGTGAAGTAAATATTGCTGAGAATAACCACTTGCAAAACTGTAATGGCGCCTCTGATATTTTACATGAAGAACTTGGTTCCTCAAGAGCTTATGAGACCATGTCACCTCAATCATGTAGTAATACGAATAGTAGTGCTGCATGTAATATTTGTAAAGCAGATAACCCAGAGGCCTTAGTAAAGTGGAAAACTGCTGGGTTAGCCTTAAGACAACTTCTCTTAAAGAAATCAAATAAAGACAGTACACCATCAAAACAATTAACCCACTCTCAATCTCATAAACATCATCAAAAATCAGATCACACCAGTTGTTGGTTACAAAGACTTAAAGATTTTGATGAATATGATGAAGAATATTTTAGTTGTTGTACTTGTGATGATGCAGAGGATGCAACATTAACAAAAACTGGTTCTTCTTCAAGTTTAGCATCACTTGACTCCGAACAAATGTTAAAATTACCAAATGATATGAGGGGAGATATGTTAGAAAATGAAAAGGTTTGTTGTAACTGTGATAACAATAGAAAAGAATCTAGTTTAAGCTTTAACATGGTTGAATCACCCATACCTGAGGTGCCATTATTTTCTGATGGTGATTCTCAGTCACCAAAAGAAACAAACCAACAAACACAAGCTGTTAGTAGTTCAAATCTTGCTAGTACACCAGGCACAACCCCTTTAACTAACACAATTTGTAACTCTATTGTTTGGGAAATGCTACAAAAACCCTACACAGTGGCATTTAATGACAGTAGTGTAGAAAATACTGCAAAAAATCAAAAGAACAAAACCAAGTTTGGTTCATCTCCAAATACCTGTGATACTTTTCCGTGCAATGCTTTCAATTCAGAAAATGAATTAGACAATACGCGTTCAGCTCCCGCGTCAAATTTGCTAATAGAATTCCCACGATCACATTCATCATTAATGTCCTTTTATAGAAATAGACCTGTTCTGTCACAGCTGAGTTCAAGTTTTCATTCTGAACCAGAAAAAAATGAAAGTCGTTCAAGCTTGCAATTTCAGAAAATGATACATTCAGACTACCGTGGGCAGCCTTTTTCATGTCAGGTTACAAATGTACATGGAACTATAAATGCTATTGAATTCAATGAGGAGGCAAAATCAAAATCAAACTCTTGTGGTGATTTTGAAGTGTTGGAATATGATAATTCTAAATTAGACATTAAGAAATCAAAAGATTGCTCAATTAATGTACAAGATGAATATGAAGCTGGTTATCAATTAAAAGTTTCTAGTCCAGAGTTTACTAGTCTCCATTATTCAGACAATTCACAAACTCACCACAATGACCACAGCCCGTGCTGTCATCACAGATCTTCTTTATTGCAGCCATTGTTAGAATCCTTGACAGCGTCAAATTCATGTACATGCAACACCTCTTCACATAATGGCTCTGACATTCTTGCAAGCTGCAGCAATTGTGATACATCTACCAGTAGCAAATTTGCAAGCATTCCTTTAAATTCTTCAAAAAGTACTAACAGTATTAATAAAAACTGTGCAATGTGCCATTATAATACAACAGCAGTGGACTCTTCTAATTCATCAGTATTAAGTAGTGAAAATCAGATTAATATGAATCATGAAAATATCTCTTGCAACAATTCAAATAATACTGTGGGTGGTAGGTTACTAGAAACAGAATCTGAAGTGACAGACTATAGTTCGGTGTATGCAGACACGAGTGGTGAAATATTTTTCAGCGAAGGAACCGACAGTTCAGATTTACCCTCTAAATTTTTGCGACTTAATCCCACTAAGAAAGACGATGGAGAGTATTGTGTCAAATCTGCAATTAGAGAAAAGAAAAAGAAAGTTCTACATACTCGTAAGTCTCACAGACGATCAGGTTCTACTTCAAGTGATGTAGAGGAAAATGATAAGCCAGATGAAAACAAAGGTATGTATGGTAGCCTAATGATGTGCATATATTTCTTTTGAACAGGAAATTGGTAACCATGCCAAAACAGCATGTGCATATTATGTTAATTTAAGATTGTCATGGATATGTACATTAGTCTTAATCATTCCAGCCTGAATTGTCTCCCCCATCTTCATTAGCCCAGTTCATACATGTAGCAAAACAGTAAGACGTTAAACCCTATTTCATTTCATTTCCTAAATTGTCTCCACTTCGACTTTGAGGAATATTATTAATCTGAACAAAAAAGCATCTGTAAAGTTACTGAATGGTTGTTCATGTATAATTCAATTCATATAAATGTGGTCTCTATCCACCAGTTAATGCATTCTACATATATTTCAAATATTATACATGTATATGGTAGCTATTTTGTTCTGACTAATATTTGACATTTTAGTCCGCGAGTGATCCAGATTCCAAACTATATTGTATGTAGGCCCTAGATTTATGTACAACCTCATATGCAACATACCCTGTGTTCTTGTAATTCATACTGTACATGTATATTTTATTTTGTCATTTTTTCTCAGTTTTATTTAACCATGTATGATGAATAAAATATTTCCTTATCTTTCCAGGCTGTCCAACCATAAATGATGAGATAAGCCTAAACGATGAAGCCAGTTACATGTATAGAAATAATTTTATGTTGACAGAAATTCTTCACCCCTCAACACCACTAGCTCGCTTTCTAAAAAGTCATACATGTATTCCTAATGAGGCACAGAACTCTACACTTCCATGGGAAAATATAGAAGATGGCCTAAGTGTTGAAAGTTGTGCTGATGGTGATTCTGTCTCAGGATTCTCAAATGGTAGCACTATCCCTAGAAAACATTCCTGGGTTAATTTTGGTAGCTTAGATGAACAAAATGGGCAATCAACTGAGGTCGAGGGTAAAGAAAATGCCCATAAGATGCGAAAAAGCGAGAGTGCAGATTTAGATGGACGGAAATCAAATCAGGATCGCCCCTCAACAGCACTCCGTAAACTTCTCAACATGGAAATCAACACAGAATTAAAGGGAGATAATTCTCAGTATTCACCAGAAACATGGATTCGACTTGTTGATCAGATCTCATTACCGTTTGAATGTACAGAAGAAGATGGAACTGATATGGTTAATGATACCACACTGGTTGATTCAACTGAAAAGGTATAGTAGGGTAGGAAATAATGAAGGTGCAATAACATTTAGGTAAACTGGAAGAGAACCAATAGCAACCAAAAGAGTTGCTATATGTATGGTACACATTATTCATCATAAATCTGTCCTGCCTTTGGTCTAAATTATAGGGTTGACTCAATAGCTATAGTGCTTTTGGTATACTTAAACCATGATTTAAAAGTTAATAATTGCAACATCACTTATAGTACCATAGATTTATTCAGAATTGCACAATAACTTTGATGCTGTTGATAAGACCCCAAGTTTTCAAAACATTCTCGGACTTAAGTTGAAAATTTACTCACCTTTCAATCACAACAACAAAAGTTTTATAAAGGGCTGTATTAATTTTAAGTAAATTCTTAACTTAAGTCTGAGAATACTTTGTGAACTTATCGTATTAATTTTAAAAAAAGATAATGTTATGCAATATATGCCAATTGCTTTTTGGACCAGGAACTGGATCCGTAGCGCTACTCATCTTGTTGTTCTTTGGGGCTACACTTTTTGAAAAAAGTCTAAGGCTCAGCCAAATCAAGTTCGATCAACATGAAACTTGGTATGCTAGTTCCTTGGACAATTGTACATCGATTATTGATATGACATCACAATTCCAAGATAGCTGTAGTGACATTCTGCTCGGTGCCTGGTTCATAATATTTTCATACTTGTTAGACAATATGGTTTTTCTATCCTCCTTGTTATTTTCTACCTTTAGTCTAATGAATTTGCTGATCTGTGTTTACCTAACTATGAAAGTTCTACCAGCTGTGATGCTGATGATGAGTTTGAATGTGATTGTGAACATTGTCAATTATTGAAGAGTATGGGGAATACAGATGATGTAACAGCGACGACGGAAACTACTGTAACCAGTAACACAACAACACAAAATTATTACACTTGGTAAGTACCGACAATTCCTTTCAGGAGTAGCAAGGAGATAGTTATGGCCATAGCTATAGAGACAGCCTATTGTTAAGAATACCAAAAATAGCACCATTATTTGACAGATCAGAATTTTTTAACTAGTCTTTTGGCCCATTTGCCATCTAGTTATTTGTTGAATAATAAACTGTGATGTTGTTGCAATACATTTTGGGGGAAGGTGGGGTGCATGTTTTTTACCTGGTTTTTTTTCTCACCTTAAAGTAATAATTGTATATTTCAGGCCTGACTTTTTAGAAGATGACACAAGTTTAGATTTAGATTTATCCGAACTAAGACCATTAGAACCATTGTTGATGAACTTGCAAGATATACCTCAAGATCTTATAGATATTATGTTTCAGGTAATTATATAAAATGTATCAAATCAAAAAGAATAGCCTGTAATGAAATAAATATTTTATAGAGTTGGCTCATCTACATTATCTCCTGCTTTATCTAGGTGTGTGTGTGTGTGTGTGGGGGGGGGGGGGCAATGGTTAGCACGTGCGCGCTATATCATAAGGCCTGTCATTGAGTCAACTGGCGTGGTTTCGAATCCCTGGGTGTACGTGACAAGGGAGTAGGGTCGTCTGTCCAACCTCGTGGGTTTTCTTCGGGTACTCCGGTTTCCTCCCACTGCTAAAGACCCACAGACGCAAGCGAATTATTGAAATAAAATTAAACCATACGTTAGTCCCGAAATGACCTAGTTTGTGTTGAATGGATGTTAAACCCCATTTCTCTCTCTCTCTCTCTCACTTTATTTAGGGATATTGTGACAGGCAAGTTCTTTGCTGTTAGTGCAATCTGGCAAAGATTCATAATAAAATGAGCTTTATTGATATATTACTTCAAACTGGATTGAATACATGACGATAATAAGATAAAGACCTAAAGCGAAAAATTCAAAAATAGACTTGTATTACTTCAAAACTATGTGAAGGCAATTCTCCAAAATATAAGTTTCCAAAAAACTGAGCTATAGAGGCTTGAATCTCACTTATTGTTATTACAGTGTTTATGAATATATTGCAAATTTCAGTCCAATGACAAGAAATAGCAATTGACAAGTACCATCGCCATTATAATAAATGAAGTCTTGATTGTCAGTCCATTCAATATTTATGCCATCAGATGATCTAGTGTATTGATTATGGGCTTGTCATGTGAATAAATGTCTAAATGATAATTTATATAACATTTGAATCCAGAAAAAAGTGCTTCAATAGGCAAATTTAGCTCTTGCATAATGCATCTTTAAGTTAGCCTAATGTCAGCCATGTCAATGTTAAGCTCTAGAGCATCAGATATATGGTTAATTGAAATGTGCTTACATGATAAGGGGATTATCTATACTAAAACATAAGAAGATTATCCAACTTACATATTTAGAACAAAATCTTATGTGATCAGATAATATAAGTACTTCTCAGGTTTTAATAGTAGATAATAATTATATTTTTTTTATGAGTTTTTCTTTTCTTTAGAATGGTGGGGGGGGGGGGTGGACGGCTGAATGGTTAGCGTGCGCGCGCTGTATCATAAAGTCTGTCATTGAGTCGACTGGCGTGGTTTCGAATCCCCGGATTTACGTGGCAAGGAGTAGGGTCGCCTGTCCAACCTCGTGGGTTTTCTCCGGGTCCTCCGGTTTCCTCCCACTGCTAAAGACCCCTACGCGCAAGCGAATTATGTAAATAAAATTAAACCATATGTTAGTCCCGAAATGACCTTGTTTGTGTCGAGTGGACATTAAACCCCATTTCTCTCTCTCTTTAGAATGGGGGGGGGGGGTATTGTCACATGCCCAACCTCAAGGGTTTTTTCTGTGGTTTTGGGTTTCCTCACTCACCCAGTTGTACGTGACAAGGAGTAGGGTCGCCTGTCCAACCTTGTGGGTTTTCTCCGGGTCCTCTGGTTTCCTCCCACTGCTAAAGACCCCTATGCACAAGCAAATTATTGAAATAAAATTAAACCACATGTTAGTCCCAAACCCCATTTCTCTCTCTCTCTTTGCTCCCACAGCTAAAGACCCCTATGCACAAGCAAATTTTTGAAATAAAATTATATCTCTTAGTCCGGAGCCTGAATTGACTTAGTTTGTGTTGTGTGGACTTTAAACCCCATTTCTCTATTTTTACTTCAGAATGTTATTATGCAGATGTTAGCTGTACACCCTGAGTTAATGGGTGATCAGGCACCCCCTCCTGTTCCACATGATGTTATAGAAGGTCTTCCTATAGTTTTAACAACTCAATTACAAATTGGTAATCACTCTTATATTTGTTGCTTCTTTACTGTTTCAAATTGATATTGATAGATTACTACCAATATAAAGAAGCTTTTGCACCTCTGAAATAAAACTCTTGCTGGAACCTTAAATCTTGCAGTTACCAAACCAGGTTAACTGAACACTATTTGTAAAACAATTAACTTACTCTTTGTGCATTCTTATGATCACTATTTATTATGCTGTGTCACAATGATAACACAACAATGATTTGATTGGAAGTGCTGGCAAGACATGATGCAGCTGAAATATGCAAGAAAATCCGAAACAACCCATGATGGAGATTATAGCTTTTCAAAATTGTCATATCTCTAGTCCTTTTGAGTATTAATTGTATGGGTTTATCTCTGATGGTATGAAATTATGATTTAAATCAGTTTTAACTTTAGCATCAACTGCTCAACTGATTTTCCCTGAGTGCACAGTACACAGCACAAAGGTTTTGAGAAATACATTTAGCTACCTAGGTATCAATTTTTGAGGAAAACAGAGAAGGTGTTGGTAGACTTATTGCCAAATGTGATGATAATTATTTATTCAGAATAATGATTTTATCCTGGAAGACTTCAAAAACCTGACTTCTGTCTAGTGCTGGCACAATATATTGACTAAAAATATCAATTAGCGGTTTATTCTGTTATTTTTTTGGTATATATTGACCTGGTTATGAATCGTGATACAAATCATATCATAGCACCTGAACCGGAATCCATATCGAGACTGCAGTGGCAATAACCAGCTCTACTTATGTCCATTTCAAATGAAGCTGTATATCAGATCTTATATTATTTTAGATCAAGAATTGAGTTGTCCTATATGTTTATGTCCTTGTCAGCTAAATGAAAGTCTAACCAGATTGTGTTGTCAACATTTATACCATCCATTGTGTATCCAGGCGTGGTTAACTAAGGTTAGTTTTATGAAAATAAATCCATTAATCCACGGGGAAGAAATTTGTATTAAAAATCTTTTGATGAGGAGAAATACATTTATAACCCCAGCTTTTTATTTAAATGAAATTTTAATTATGCTGGAAGTTCAGCAGGATAAATAACCCCATTTAAATTTGTTTAGTACTGGTATTTTTTCAGCTCACTAAATGCAATCTTCATCAACCTATATGATGTACCCATCTCTTGACTTCCTCATTTAAAATCTTATAGATTTGGTAAAAGTAATGATGTGCTATTGGCTTTGTCACTAAGATATTAAATTTCGCACAGCTTAATCCATGCTAATATGTACTCAGATTGATTATTAACATTTAATAATGAAATCAAAATACCAACAGAGAATGTGCCAGCTTGGATTCAGTTGAATTTAAAACAGGTTTATCAACAACATGGCAGATGCTTTATTTGTATAGCAAGTAGAATTGATCAATGAAATTTCAATTCCACATATATTTGTAAATACTGAACAGAATTGAACCCTTTTTTTTGACTGATATACCTATTAGAGATTCATCTTTCACAACAATGTAGTGTGCGAGTGATTGTGCATCAAGACTTTAATGAGCAGGAGAAACAATGATATAATGATATAATGAATGTGACCATTCAAATTTGGAGCCATGGTGGCTAGTTGGTCAAGACGCTGGCTTGCTAGCCTGGAGGTCGGGTGTTCGATCCCTGCATTGGTCGAGAAAGTTCATCTGGATTTTCCGACGTGGTTTCCCCTTGTCAGTGGTGCAGAACGGAGGGTCTGACAAGGACAGCTGTCTAGTCCTTCGGATGAGACAGAAATCTGAGGTCCCGTGTATACATTGGAATGCACGTAAAAGATCCCTTGGCAGTTGGAATTCGATATAAGAGTAGGCGATAGTGCCGCTGCCCGGGCAAAATTTCCCTCATAGCACACTGTATGGCGTATTCCCGTCTTCATTAGCCCAGTATAGGAGCAGAACAGTAGGATTTTAAACCCCATTTCATTTCATTTCACCATTCAAATTTACCAGTCATATTAGTTTTATTATCAGTCTATAATTGGTGAAATTTTTATGTTCATTGTCTACTTTTTTTTTACAGTCAGGAACTTGTCCAGTATGTAGGTGTGCAATAAATGGCAACTCGGCTAAATAACAGAAAATTTAAACACATTGGGTAGCTAAAAATGGTGGATCAACACATTAAAGAATTTGTTTTGTTTATGATATTAGAAATATAACATAACATAATATGCATGTTTTATATTCATAATCAGGAGATCTACAACTATGAATAACATTGTATTTCGTATTTTACTCTATGCATATATACAAAACACTACACCGCGAAAATAACTTCTTTAACCATATGCTAACGTATATCCTGTTGAAGAAGGAGAGAGATAAAATTGGTTAGTTTTCTTGTCAGAACAATATTACACAAATGAAATGATTATCATGGTGTTTGGTAAACACACAGTTAATAAAACCTATATCTGATCTGTGTACAAACATTGTGTAGGATGTCTGGGTGACAGAATTCTTTTCCAGTTGTCTGTAGGATAACATAATATGTCAAATGGAGGGAGCATCATTAGCTTTCAGGAAATCTTTTGTATTAGGTACATACATAGAATGATTTCATGGTTTAATGATGTATATTTAGTTAAAAAAGGATAGACAGTTTATGATTAATTATAAAGTTAGTTTTGCGGTGTAATGTATATTAACAGTTATTTAATCTGATGTTGTCATATTGTGTTATACTCAAGGTTAAATCTCTATTGTTATTTATATTGATGTTATATTTGTTTTATTCTTTAGTTACAGACATATCACTTCAAAAAATATTAAATAGTTCTTAATATATGAATCATATGGGTATGTACTGTGCATAAATCATACAGCTGTTTAAATTCACACGCAAAAGAATCCCATTGAATATATTTCTGTGAAGTTTGTCTTCCTAACTATATCCCTATCAGTTGGAGAATATATCCCCAACTATTAGAAAACTGTAGTTGCTATGGAACAGAATTTCTTTGTTGGAGAAGTCTTATATATACCTATTATAAATCTCCATGATAATTTAAGATATGCTACGTACTGACTGTAAACTTTAACCTTGTGTTTCCAGAGTGCAGTCAGTTATACTTGGAAAAATCTTCTGATTGACAGAACAGTATGGCTTTATTCACTGTGTGTTTATTAGTTACTCTCATCCTATAATATTAGAGGGGTGAGGGGTCGGTCATTGAGTCAAGTGCCAAGCTTGTATGTGACAAGAATATGGCTGCCTGCCCCAACTTGTGGGTTTTCTACAGTTTCTACTAACTGTTATAGTCTATAGACCCCTACATGCAAGATATATATTATTGACATAAAGGTGTACTGTATGTTAGTCCCAAAATGACCTACATTTTCTGTTCCTATGAAATGTCATAGTTTCAGTTTAAAAATAGTTTTGAGAATGTAATAGATGACTAATTAATCCCAAAGGAATAGATCTTTAAAGAGTTTCTGTCTGTCTCTTAGTGGTTTTAACATCTGCTTCCACAATTTACAAAGCTTTAGACTGCATCTAAAAGGTCTTCATCTTGAACAGTGTGTGTAACAAGTCATCAGAAACACCATCATGGATGAACAGGCGGAAGCAAGCTGTGTCTACATATAACTTTTCTCTCTTTTCATTAAAGCCCCAATATTCTACAAGGCAAACAATACAGATGCTCAGATCATTCAAAATAAAAAGTAGTTTTAACTAAAAGCATATTCATAATATTACTAAAATCAATCAATGGCCTTCTGAACTTCCCATCTATTATTGTAGATTTTATATTGCCATCTTATTCTTGTGAAAGATAAATAATTTCAATCCACAATCCAGGTGCTCAAGATATTATCCGACCTAGGTTTTTTGTTGTATTTGACTAAATACGATCTTAAGAATACTTTTTAGCCCTTATTTTTGTTAAATTTAAATAAGGAAAATGATTATTCTACAACTTTAAGGTAAAAAATAACATGGACTACATGCATATTGTTCAGCTGAATATATCTTATACTTTGCTTTAATTAAGAACGGGTATATTACCACTGATATTAAATGTTGGCTGTATTTGTTACTCTTATTAAACATACATTATCCAAGAGCTAAATCTGCCTATTGCAGGTCTTTCTTTAGGCCTGAAATGTTATCTAAATTATTAATTAGACATTAATTATAACTGATCCTGGTCATAATCTACTTTAGATTAGAACGGTTCAGCCATATTTTGATTTAATCTAAAAATGGAGGAGCAAGACTGAGCTTCCAACAACCAGTATGGTGGTTAAAATTATTGCACACGTCTTGTCAAACCTTCAAAGGCCAATATCTTCACTGCAATAGAGTAATTTGAATGAAATTTTCAAATTATTCATTTTACATTATATGCTTTCGAACTGTTATAGCAAGAATTGCTAGCTCTTTATCTAAGTCTTACATAATGTATCTTTAATCTACCACCAGTAGTAAAGTAGAAGTTCATGATATATATGTGAACATGAGTTTCATGTAGAAATCACTGTACAGTATATAACACGCTAAATGCCATATGATCAATGTTTTAAAGTACTCATTGTGCTTTTTAAATGTATATCCATCCCAAATAAAGCTCATCAAAGGATTGTGTTTATTTTTTTATTGTCCCCGCCTTTTAAAGAAAGCAGGGGAATATTAAAATGGGCCCGTCCTTCTGTCCATCACACTTTTTGGGACACAATAACCTTCCTTCTAATTGAGCTAGAATGTTAAATCATGCACATGTTCCACTAAGGCTAAGCGGAAACAAACAATTTGATTGGTTGAGACTTTGGAACACGATAACTTTGGTTCTAATTGGGTGAGAGTGACAAAACTCCAAGTATAGTTTCATTATATCAATACGTTGACTAAATTCGATGATGAGAATATTCAGCTTAAGCTAGGTAGAGATAAGGAATTTGCTTGGTTAAGACTTTGGAATGTAACAACTCTGATTTTTATTGAGGTATAGAAATGAAATGGGGTTTAACGTCCTACTGTTCTGTTCCTAAACTGGGCTAATGAAGACGGGCATACGCCATACAGTTTGCTATGAGGGAAATTTTGCCCGGGCAGCGGCGTTACGGCCTACTCTTATATCGAATTCCTTCTGCCAAGGGATCTTTTACGTGCACACCAATGTGTACACGGGACTTCGGTTTTTCATCCCATCCGGACGACTAGACAGCTGTCCTTGTCAGGCCTTCCGTCCTGCATCACTGACAAGGGGAAACCACGCCGGAAAATCTGGATGAACTTTCTCGCCCAATGCAGGGATTGAACACCCGACCTCCAGGCTAGCCACCGTGATCCCCCAATTGAGGTATAGATGTTCATTAGGTGAATATCTTGTCTGAGTTCAATGATTAATATTTCCATGCTTTGGGACAAGATAACTATGATTCTAACTGATGGAGTGTAATGAAACTTAGTGTATAGTTACACTACCAGGTACTTCAAACCCTGACTAGGTTTGATCGTGAATATTTTATGCTTAGACTAAGCATAGATAATCAGTTTAATTGCTTGATAGTATACTTTTAAAAAAAATAAATGTGCTATTAATTAATATGAGTCATCTATTTATTTGGGGATTTCGGTTGAGGACATCAGCCTCACTGCTAGCTTGTTTGACATATTAAGGTTGAAATGTTGACTTTTTATACAGGTCCAGTTATACATTCTTTTGTCACAGCATAAGCATATCTTTTTGACTGCAATGAATTTATAATATTCATGAACTCGTAAAGCTTACCGATATTTATTATTTAGGCCTCTAGTAATGCATATATAAGCACCTGAAATTCAACAGTGACACAATCTGAACAAATTACATAGTACATATAGATAGAGAAGCAGTGTTCCAGTATATTTAACTGAATCGAACAGGTTTATTGTGTATGGTACAAGATAACTATGTCTACATACTTGCCTAAGTACTAGCAAACTGTCCAACACGGATAATCCCAAAGCCTTCTTTCCACAAGAGAGAGAGAAATGGGGTTTAACGTCCACATGACACAAACTAGGTCATTTCGGGACTAACACATGGTTCAATTTTATTTCAATAATTCGCAGTGGGAGGAAACCGGAGGACCCCCAGAAAACCCACGAGTTGGACAGGCAACCCTAGTCCTTGTCACATACTGCTGGGGAATCAAAACCCCGCCAGTTGACTCAATGAAAGACTTTCTTTCCACAATGTGACAAGTCAAGTTTTGTTGCAACCCCATTAAACAAGACTAGCTCAATATGTTGTAATATTGAGCTAAAACATTCATACCAGTTAATCAATTTTTACATTAAATCCCACTTTTATCCTTTGGTAACTTATTAAGTGTGAGCTACTCCTTTATTAGTGGCAACTAATCTCTATTTACCAAACCATAATAATTATGGGGGCGGGGGGCTCTCTAAAATGTAGAGATATTATGCCTATTGATAGACGTGGACCCATTTCACAAAACATACATGAAATAGACCCACTTATTATCTAAGTCTTGCATGTTCTTTGTACATTGGGAACCAGGACAATAATTACAGTTGGATAGACAAAACTAAATATGGTACTATAATCAAGAACAGATATGTATTTTCTACACAAGTTTTTTATATTTACCATTAGTAAATAATTACATTCATGATATCACAGGTCTAATAGGTACTGGTCAAATCATTATAGCATTGAGTTCATCATTGAAAAAAACACAGCTCTAAAAACATACACAAAGATCTCAGAATCTGTCCTGTGCAGAGATCCATGTAAACCTTACCCTCTGAATCTGTACAATTCTTGCAAAATATTTTTAAAATTTCAGTTCCCATTTGTCAGACTGGCAGTATTCAGATAATAGTTAAAATAGAGTTACATCAATAATAATCCCAATCATCTACAAGAAACCATTTGAGGTGATTTTTGTGGATTGTTATAATCATAAGAGAAATCTTGGATGATTAAAAATGATGAATAGAAATTCTTGAAGATCCATGAAACGAGAGTTAAATAAACTTCCAATAGCTTATAACACATTTGTCAATAATAAATCTTTCAAAACTGAGTTCTGCATTAACTACACTTTTAGCTCAAAACTTTCAGTGTTTGGAATTCATCATCCACTGTCATGCAGGCTTTTTTCAAAATCCTTCGCGATTCTGTGACAAAATTAGAGTAATGAATATCTGGATGGATTTCTATCATTTCATCTATGGTATCAAAGGTGACTTTACGGCACTGCATGAGACCAAGATATCGTAGAGATGGACAGGCATCAGAGATATGTTGTACGCCATAATTAGTAATATCAACACACCAAGCTACGTCTAAATGTTCTACACATTGACCATATTCACCTACATATTCTAAAGCTGAAAATATACAATTAAGTAATGTTTAAACATATTGTCAGACAACAAATATACACCCATCCCTCAGCAATTTCTAAATAATAATATACCTAATAATAATATTAAATAATCATGTACATTTGTGGAGTGCCAAATCCATCCAAAAGCATTCTCAAAGCACAATGAGACAATAGTTATTGAAGTTGAACAGAAAGTCTAATTCTCATAGCATTATTGAAATAAGTGTGTCTTCAGCTGTGATTTGAAATTAGTCAAAAGTTTCACGGTTTCGGATTTTCAGAGATAAATCATTCCACAATTTAGGAGCAACTACCAAAATGTTTCAGTCTTGAGTTTGACTGTAGAACAACAAGAGTGTTCTGGTTATATATAAGATCTCAAGGACAGATTTGGTTGATGAAGTGTTAGTAGTTCTGATAAATAGCTGGGTGCAAGATTTCGTAGACACTGGTATGTGAGACAAAGGACCTTAAAGTTGATGCACGCCAGAATTGGGAACCAATGTAAGGATTTTAGAATAGGTGTTGTGTTAGATGATGTTTTGGTTCATGATATGATTCTGGCTGCTGTATTCTGTATTTTCTGTAGCTTGTAGACTTGTCTGATTAATTAAATGATGGCTTTTAAATTTCCAGGGTCAGGGGCTATAATTATGCATAAAATTGATTATTCAAGTCAATAGGTACATGTACATGTAGGTTTTTCTCAAAACTCAGTTTCTGTGTCAAGGGCAGTAACTACAAAAAAACCTTGTGGATGGCTCAGAACAAGCTGAACAATCCCAGCAAGTTTGGAAAAACAATCTAAAAAAACTCAGACATGAAGAAAATTTACAAAGTTTTTCCTACCTAAAATAGATAAAATCATCCAAGAATTAGTATTTCTCGCACACATACACATAAACAGCCATTACACTTAGTGACTTAGGTAATACACAATGTGTATTACAATACATACACATGGATTCCTGGCTTCAGTGGATCAATAAATAATTACCTTTATCAGTGAGGCGACAGGCTACACAAGATAGAATCCTCAATTTAGGACAGGATTTTACAATCATCTTTATACATTCATCATCAACTGCTCTGTTTAAAGACACATTTAACACTTCTAACTTTACACAATTTTCAACAACTTTAGTCAGTACTTTGGGACTGAGCTGAGTAACATTAGAAATATCTAACATTCTTAAATGTGGTAACTGAAAAAATATATATAGAATGTTAACCATTAGTAAATATATCAACTGTATGGGGTGCCATGCAAAAGGCAGTTGTGAATATATATTGTAGTTTTGTATTAGTTTATTAAAAGATTGGTTGCCAGGCAACGAAATATACACCCACAGCAGCTAAATCGTCTGGGTGGTCGCATATTCAATCTTTTGTAGGTAATTGGGGGCCTTTACAAGACAATTTCATTCAGATCAGATTATAATTTTTGTCGTTTGAGAGTTCACACGGTTCTACAAACTGAAACAAGGTCCTTAACTCTGGAAGTAATTTACAGATAATTTAGACAGGCTTTTTCTATGGGAAGACCAATCAGCTATTTATTCAGTGTTGTTGTTAGTCCTTATTTTTTAATTCATAGTCCTTTATTCTTATTTCTTCATTTGTTGTCATATTTCGACATTTGAAAACTAAAATCAATATTTGTTTTACAAATCAGAGATTTGTCAGATCAGATTTGTAAAATGTATTTTAATTGTATTTCAATATAAAATTGAGCAAGCATATATACAATAAGAAAAATCGCTGGATGACCACAACTCTAGTGAAACCACATGCATAGTATGGCTAATCTGGCCGAGCCTTCAAGAAAGAAAATAAATTGAAAGTGGTTTATTTTCATAAGGGTCTTTTATCTCTTCTAAATCATGTAATCATGAATGTGCCAGGGAATAAGTAATATATTGAAAGAAGGATAAAGAAATAAATACTTTTTGCTCATGCAATACACGATAACCCGTATTTTAAGTTTTAAAAAGGTAAGGTATTCCACAGAAAAGGAGAAGCATAGGAAAAGGAGCATTTACCATAGATGTGGATTGTGGAAGGATAAAAAGGTGTAAGCAGGTTGCTATTTAGAGATCGGAGTGTACGGGATGGAGTATATAAGGAATTTAAGGTAATCTTGCGAATTATCTGAATGTAATGTACTACATTACCCCTGTTTTACATGATCTACACTGGCTTCCTATATCACACCGTATCACTTTCAAAATACTTATACTTACTTCCTACATTAAATGTATCACTTTTAAAATACTTATACTTACTTCCTACATTAAATGTAGGAAGTAAGTATAAGTATTTTGAAAGTGATACGGTGTGATATAGGAAGCCAGTGTAGATCATGTAAAACAGGGGTAATGTGATTGGTAGGTTTAGTTCTGGTAATGATTCGTGCTGCTTTATTCTGAATTTTCTGGAGGAGAGACAACTTATTTGCAATAATATTACATAACAGGGATTTACGGCAGTCCAAACGAGATGTAACAAGAGTATTCACAAACATTTTACAGGTTTCAATGTCAATGAAGTTTCATATCCGGCCAATTTTGTACAGTTAAAAAATTTGTTGATTTACAGATTGACGATATATGGTTACCCATCTTCAATTTACTGTCAAAATAAACAATTAAATTTCTAACATTCTTAGCAGGAGACACTTCACAACTACCAACTTGAATTTTATGGATGGACAATTTTTCTAGTTTTTGATTTGATCAAATAATAAGCCCTTCAGTTTTATCATCATTTAGTTTTACTAATTTAAATGACGCATATAAATTTCATACAGATCGGCAGATAACTTTTAATAGTAAGTGCAGGGGGACTGCACCACACATACTTTACACAGAAACAAATACATGGACAAGACATCATACTCAGAAACCACAAATAAACAAACAAGTGAATGGGTCCAGGGGCTAGCCGTAAGCGTCCACTGCGCTGTACAGTCCTGTGCCTGTGGTGACACAGACTTCACTCAAATTTGAAAACAATCAGGAATACAGCCCAAAGAAACCATTGTGTAATGTCAGTACGAGTCATGATCTGCTATATGCTACAAGAAATACGAATGTGAGCATATTGTAATAAAATTCAACTATACAAGTAACCACATCAGTGAAATGTATAAAAAAGTAGTCTAAAACTGAATGCTCTAAATCAATCAAGAAACGTTCAGGTATTCAACGTAATCGAGGTATATTGAATACATTTAGGGCACATGTTCCACCTGTCACAAAAACAAACAAAACTGAAAAAAAGAGAAGAAAATAGGAAATGTAGACTGTCTCGAAAGACAGCTGTCTGCTGACTGAATGGTGTGACGTGAAAAAGCCATTATTTTGGCAATGATGTCATAACTTAGAAGGTAACAAATAATCACAATAAAAAGGGCGATAATTCAGATAAAATAACGTTAAAAGCTTAATAAACTTTAAGTTTTAGCGACTAATTGGAATTATTAAGTTATGTAATTGTACAATTTATAATATATAATACCCCACACAAGAAATGTTAGAGCGGTCACAAGGTGCAACAAAGTGAAACAAGGGCCATAACTCTAGAAGTAACTAACGGAAATTGCTGAAATTCAATAGGTTTCTTCATTTCACTAATTTTTAAAAATAATGCATATCGATTTCACAAAGATCGGAAGATAACTTTTGGCATTAGAGAGTTCACAAGATTCAACAAAGTAAAACAAGGGCAATAACTGTAGACGTAATTAACAGAATTTGCTGAAATCCAATAGGATTCTTCTTCTAAATGACACATATAAATTTCATACAGATCGGCAGATAACTTTTGATGTTAGAGCCTACACAATGTGCAACAAAGTGAAACAAGGGCCATAACTTTAGAAGTGAATAACAGAAATTATTGAAATTCAATAAGGGTTCTTCATCTCACTAATATAAACAACATATATCAATCTTAAAACAATCGGATCATAACTTTTGGAGTTCGAGTGTTCACAAGAAATTGTGGACGATGAACGGACCGAGTGTTCGCAAGAAATTGGGGACGACGGACCAACGGATCGACAGTTGGCAGACAAACAAATGGACGGGGGCGAATCAATGGCAATCTACGTCGACATTTCCATGTGGGTGTATAAAAATTAAGTTTCATCAATATCATACAATTAGATTACAAGTTATTGTGTTAAAAGTCTTGACCAATCAAACTGCAGAGAGCCAGACAAACAGAATTTAATAGTCCCCTACTTTCTTTGAAAGGCAAGAGACAAAATGATAGTGGTTCATAATTTAAAAATAGATCAGTATTTGTAGTGAATAATAAGTAATTTGATTATGACTATTGTACATTATACTTCCTTAAACTTATATATTGAAGGTCTACGTATGATAAAACAACTGTAAACTTACATGTAGTGTTGGATTCATTAAAATAAAGTTCATTTAAGTCACTACTCTCAGGCATAATCAATATAGTCAGTAAATAGAGGTAAGTATATGTACCAAAAACTTGGATTTCTTATTATTACATGTATTCATAAATTTAAATAATCTGATATATACTATTCAAAAAAAGTAGGGGATATTTGATTTTTAAGTGTTATTAAAGTCACCTAATGAAACTGACGAAGAAACAAATGACAAAATGAAATGAAGTTCACATTCATCGATTTATTCCAAATGATCGTTAGACTAAGTAAGGCACAGCCTGACCATTATAAGGGTAAAATGATACCCGGGGTCAAACAGTAAAGTTACCACAGCATCACAACCAAGTCAGTAACGGGTAAATCCTCCTCTGTTTGCCAAACAAGCATTGATCCGACGTGGCATACTCCTAATGAGACGTCTAAGGTCATTTTGGTCCAGATTGTCCCATTCCTGTTGCAACGCAGCAGCAAGTTCTTGGACATTGGCAGGACGTTGTTGACGTTGACGTAACCTCTGTCCAAGCATGTCCCAGACATGCTCGATGGGGGAGAGGTCGGGACTCAGTGCTGGCCAAGGTAATGTGGTGATATTCTGTTGTTGGAGGTAACCTGTAACGATCCTGGCCCTGTGACATCTTGCGTTGTCATCCTGGAAGATGAAACGGCGGCCATGACGTCGTGCGAACGGCACAACATGGACTGCCAAGATGTTGTCCCGGTAGTACTGGCCTGTAACACGCCCTGCAACAACATGTAAAGCCGTTTGTCCAGCAACAGTCATGCCTCCCCACACCATAACAGAACCACCCCCAAATCGATCATGTCTGATGACGTTAACGTCTTGGAAACGCTCGTTTCGACGACGCCACACCCTCCTACGTCTGTCCAAAAAATCAACAGTGAACCTTGACTCATCTGAAAACATCACATTGCTCCAGCGTCGATTATCCCAGTGTTGACGATCCCTACACCAACGACGTCTTGCCTGAATGTGATGATCTCTCAAACAAGGGATCACGCGAGGACGTCGGGCGCGAAGGTGACCCCTATGCAGTCGATTCCGAATAGTCTGGCCACTCACTCTCACACCAGTGTCTGTTTGAAGACGAGCGCTGATCTGATTTGCTGTGATGACACGATTTCTCAAGGCCAAGGTACGGATAAATAGACCTGAGCGTGGTCTGTCCTGTACAGATTGTGTATCACGGTATCTGGACCATAGCCTGCTTATGACAGACTGATGTTTCCACCCTGGAATTCAATGCCACAATGACTGTAACATTCAAAGTCAGAGTCATGCAAATCTTGGGTTGGACCCCCATGATGATCCCAAGCATCACCTGCATTCCATGCGGTAGCTATTGGTGCGTTTGGGCGTCACATGTAACTGGAAATGTTTCTTCTGTTAGGTTCTATAGTGACTTTTTTCGTAGTCATTTGCATATTTTAGTATTATGCCCCCAAAATCAAATATCCCCTACTTTTTTTGAATAGTATATGTATGTGTAAAAATATTAGTGAATTGTCCCATTAAATATTTAGGCTAGGGGCCAAGGCCCAAAACAGGGCTTAACTTAAATGGCGAGATACCCCTACCCGAGGTAGAACAAAACACTTTGGATATTTCTTGATAGAGTCACATCACTAGAACTCAAAACTGGTTCTTGGGCAAATTTTCAACATGGCCCAATATATTTTTTTGCACTTTTACCAATGGTTAGGGTTCTTTAACGATAATAGATTTGATGAGGGTAGGGATAGATTTTTGGTTCTTGTTCTTTTGTGCTGAACAAACTTGAAAATCATTTACTATCATCTGAAAGAGTAATGGGTGACCAGGTCATATTTTGGGTCAAAACTTTTAAATTTGCATATTCCGTAATTGTGAAGTAAATAGTGACGTCATTGCTATCATATCGTTATGAGAGTACCAATTAAAGGGTAATTTGTTAATTAAACTTCGAAATCCTTATTTTAAAAACACAGATTTTGAGTTTGAATAATCCATTGCAACGGATTAATATATTTATTATATTTAGACAGCAATAAAATATGGTTTATTCCATATAAAGGAACATAACTCAAACAGGAACTAAACTACATCAGGAACATAACAATAACATTAACTAGGTGTCACAGCTCCATTGCCCACGTTGGAAGAAAGTCATTTTTTCCCGATTTGTAACCCCTTTTCAACTTAACGTCATACGGTGGCTATTTAATATTTTGTAATAATTTTAAAATATTTTGGAAGCCGATATCCTGTTCTTTTGTTTGATATAATTTTTATATATGTGTTCATTTTATTAATTTCATAAACGTAAGTTGAAAAACGTTAATTTCCCGTGTTTTGACGTTACGCTGAAAAATTTTGTCACGTTTTTAAACGAGGGTACCCCACTTCAAGTGCTCGGCGGGCGCACTTATTATTAATATTATTTTTTCATTCTAATATCATTAGAAAAATAAATGAACGATCTTTCAATTGGTCGGGGGTGCTTTGTTGGCATTTCGAAATACCATGCATTTTTTGCAAGTTGAACGCTTCAATTCACGCAATCTTTTTTTTTGGCGATTTGTCAATATAGCACCCCCGACCGATTGAAAGTTCGTTTTATTGTCGTTTTGATGCTATTAAAATCAACAAAATCGGAGCATGGCAAGTGCGCCCGCCAAGCAATTGAAAATGGTATACAATGAGAAATTTTGTCAAAAATAAATCGCGTAGTTTAGCCTTGTTATGACGTCATTTCAACACCAAAACTAAAATGTATTCCATGTTCCTTAGACTCATATTCGCGGTAAATTACGTCGAAAGGCAACTCCGATGTTTATTTATGAAGTAAGCGTTATGTTATATGAATAAAGGACTTGCCTGAAAATAAATAAGGATAGTTAATTCCATTTTTTTTCACGCCTTTTGGCTTTGCTGGGTTGACTGTGTTTACATCACGTGACTCATATTCGCGCGCTTTTATAACCATGTGACAGGATATAAATATAAAATCGAATGGAAATTTCCTATCGGCGACCACACGTCTTTACTTTTAACACCAAACATTTTTCAAGAATTGAACAATTCCGTAAAATTGACGAATGTTTCAATGCTCTGAAATCATAAATTCGCTGTTCACTGAATTATTCAAGCCCAATTTTAAAGCATTTCTGTGCACACGAATGGAAATGAAACCGGAAAACATCCACACGGGTCTTGCTCTTGGTACTGACAGCAGGCGTGAGGAAGATAGTATAGGTACTACTGATAATTAGTACATCGATTTCTATCCACTTAAACGGATATTATACCCAAATATATAAAGTTGGACCAACTAGCTGAAATAATTTGAAAAATGGCTCAATTTCTGGATTTGCCGTTGGCGATTTGCAACATTTCGTTTGAGATGATGGAACCGACATAGATTATGAATTAGGTCAGTCATGTCAATACTAATTACTATTACTATCATCACTCAGTATTGATACGGATACCCAATTTTCGCAAAACGTTTTAGTTTTTACTAAATAATTTAGCATTATATAACAGTTGTCATACTAATTATTATAATTTTAATTCTTTTTTTTAGGAAAATATACTTAACACCTCGAGTATCACATATTTGTTGGCCAGTTAAACAATTGAATGAACCGACAAACCTAAGGCCTTAATTGGGCCTTGATTCGATATTTGTTTACATTGATTAAAATATACAAAAAAGGAAGCTGCTCAATGGGCTACATACCAATTTGAAGGAATAATATAAATATTCAAAAGTGAAGTAAAAACATAACAATTCTTTGAGTTAAATTGTAGCTTTTAGGCCTAGGCCTTTATAAACATGACTAGGCCTACCATAGCCTATCAGTAACTGAGTAACCTACTTTTACTCTTTAGTCTTTAGAGAATAATTTTTTATTGGTCAATGTTATCTTCTGAGTAGAAAATAATATGTAAAAGCAGAATTCTAACAATAATGTAAGCAAGGAATGCTGAGAACAATGATAATGCAACAAGAGTTGTCCGTTTTTTAAAATCATGTGGTTGCTATGACAACCATCCAAAATCCTTAATAATTCACTAAAATTTTACAATTCTTAATATTTTGTATTACATGGGCTATAAATATATGCTAAAAAGCTTTCTGCTACTGTACTAAAAATGTGGCGATCAATTGGTTTGTCATGGTAAACATCATTGAAAATGGAATAACATTGCCTTTTTTGGGGTGTTTGTTTTCGTTTTGATTGCTATAAAAACCAAATATTAAGTAATATACAAGAGTAAAGATAAGTAATTTTAAAAATTCACAAACATATTTACTTGTAAACAAAATTTCTCTTCAAGATCCTTATTCCTTTTATATTTTATTTATGTCTTAATAATGGCCAAAATGGACAACTAGCTACTGCAGAATGTTCTTCAAAAGGGAACCCCTTTCCAGCTCTTGGGAGAAGACATATAAATATTTTCATTTTATTTATTTTTTAAAATCTTGTCCAATAGCTTCTGTTTTTAAAATAATACAATTATCAATATTGATGTCATGATTATTGGAAAATAATGCTTTTCGGAAAAAAATAAATGTGGTTGCTATGGTAACAGCCAAAACTCCTTCATATTTTTCTCAAACTTACACAATCCATATCATTTAATATTACATGGGTTTCAAATATTTTAAACTTACTTTAAAATGTGGTGATGACCTTTTGGGTTATGGTAAGTAGCGTTGAAAATGGTCAAAAATTGCATTTTTTCCATTTTGGTTGCTATGACAACCAAAATTGATAATATATGGCGGATTGGAAATAAGTGATTTTAAAAATTCACAAACTTTTTGACATATTCCCATAATTTCACATGTGTATCTCCATTCCTTCTTATTTTATTAATGTCCCAAAAACACCCCAAAAATAGGCAATTGTGTGCCGCGGAAAATTGTTCAAAAATGAACATATATTCAGCTCTTGAGAGAAGGCATATATATATTTTTACTCTTTTTTTTTTCGTTAATCATACTTGATAGCTACTGATTTTAAAATGCATAACAACCAGGTTCAAAATTTCAGATATAACATGCACAAGACCATTTTTGATGAAAAAATTGACCAAAATCGCTCTGACAAAATGGAATTTTTGAGAAAACCTATGTATTTTGCAGTTACTGTGGAAATCGGTGTAATTATTACAAAAATGTGAAAATTGAAGCATAATTAGCCTTAAAGTTGTATTTCATGAATTTACATCTTCATTTTTAATAGGTTTGATATGAAATGAAATATGGCATCACAAAAAACACCAAAAATGGCTTTTTCAAAGTGTTGAAAAACCTTTCTTCCGCGAAAAGTCAAAAATCGCAACTTTGAGCCTCAATAAAAAAAAAAGTTTTCATCCGATTTTGAATCTGTAAAAAGTTTTGTGAGAAGAATGATGAGATCTACTTGGAAAGCTAATAAAATCAAATGTATAATCATAATCTCAAAATCACCTTTTCCACCTACATTAACATGGTACATTAAGACAACCATTCCACCCTTCAGTCAGGGCAGCGGCTGAACTTGAGTGAGTCCATAAACCGATCTTCATTCTCCTCTGCTTTTCTCCGCTCGCCTCAAGGTCTTATATACCTTTGTATTACAATACATTCTATTTAATCATTTCGTCAACTTCCGGTCCGTCTAAGATACGAATAGCCAAGTGATCACGCTTCAAGTTTGATTTGTAATTAATAACGCTGTAAAATGACCAATTTAATTACATTGAAAGGTGTATAATGATCAAATAAAGTCTTGTTGGCAATAAAAATGATGGGAGGTGTTAGAACTAGTGAGTATTGTGAGATGATAGCAGACGAAATGTTGTCAACAAGTCAAAACAAAATGTCACCTTCTTATTACTGTAATATATAGTCAAAGAGTTGTAAGAAGTTTTATTTTAATCCTTTCAAGTGCCTGTGATACAACACATGGCCTAAGGCCCCCCCGCTGTGTTTATGCAACCTTATAATATAACAAATAGTAGCATACTATGGGCCATGACGTCATCTTGGAATTGTGACGTGATATCTAAACGCGAAATCCCTCAATTGAGGCGCAATTGTCCAAGGAACCATCATGCCTAATTTTATATTAATTGTAGTACATAGATTGACAGAGCCTTTGACTTTTTTCGAAAAGCGCCACCTACAAGAACAACATGATCAGTAGCACTAAGGGACCAATTACTGGCCCTAAAATGATATTGTGTGTGCTATTTGCGATGTTTTTATTTAAATCACAGAATGTGCTGGAGAAAACTCACAAAATATAGCTTATCTGAAGCATTTTAACTGTTAAATAGTTGGATTTTACGCATAGAGTCGAGATCTATGATTTTTTAGGGTTGCTATGGAAACCAGGAAAAATAACTATTAGAGCCCGACTTTGAAAATTGCCCAAGAACTGATTTCATAATGTCGATAAAATTACCTTTCCAACTATACCAAATAACCTTTGTTCTACCATAGGTAGGGGTATCGGAAAAAATATGGGGTTAAACCGCTAGCCTAATTAGTAAGTTACCTACAGCTATATATGATGAAGGTTTGGCTACTTACCATTATTAGCTGACATATACTACTATCTGTTAAACTACATGATAACATATGTAAATAGAAGATATCTGGACAGTATTTTGTCAGCTCTATAACTCCTTGATCAGTTATCTAAAAACAGTAAACAGGTACACACAGAGTGTTAGCATATTGTCACATAAATATTGATAGAGAAATTGACCTTACATTAAAATTCTGTCATTTCAGGACTAACATGGAGCTGTATACCTCTATTTCAATAATCAAAAGTTCCAGAAAAACCCCATCAAATGACATACAATTACAAGTCCTGCATTAAACCCTTGACTTAGTGACAAACCCTAAGCATAGCAGTCCACATGTTTCTACACAAGGCAACACTTGATACAACAACGAACCAATCACTATCATTACCTTATCACACTGTTCTATACGTAATTGTTGAAGTAATGGACAGCCCCTGGCTACTTCAACTATACCAGTATTCTTTACATTACTACATTGTCCCAAATATAGTACCATCAATTTGGAACAGCCTTTACCAACCTATAATGACAAAATAAATTACCATAATTGGGTACATAAATTTCATTTTCTTCTGATTTCAAATAGAATATGAAAAGAACGTTCCTTAATTTTTCTGTCTGTGACATTCAATTTAAATCAATTTAATACAAAAAATTCCTGATCTGAAAATTGTCATACGTAATATGTATTCATTTCTTTCTAACTTTAAAAGCAGGATATTCAAAAAAAAAGATTTCAACAAAAAATGAAATAAAAATGTTCCGTTAACTTACAGCTATAATGGTCTCATTTAAAACATTAGAACAGATATCAAGATCTAGGTGAACAAGATTGTGACAAAAATTACCAATTGATATAAAGGCTTCAGCAGGCATATCAAAACATCTGGAAAAATAAAATTATTATTTTCTAATCAGAGCGGCACATACATGTACCCATCAACTTCCCTCCCACTAATACATCATTTCATTTTTCAGTGAACTGCAGTGTTCTATCATTCAGTGCACCAGAGAACCTGTGTACACATATGTACATGTCTGTGGAGATAAATTTAAATCTTAAACTCTGCAGTTGATAATAACCTGTATTCTACATGTAAATGCATAACTTGACTTATTATGCATTACAAAAACACAACTATGAATCAATTTAAATTCTGTATTCAATAAAATTATCTAAAGCCTGGTTTCCAACTGACTACTTTGAAACTTTTGAATAAATGCTATGTTTTCATATACATGTACGAGGGCTCGCATCTCTCATGAGAGGATTTAGCACAAGATCGCCAGCGATTGGATGATGTCCTTCCTTTTCCACAGTAAAGAAGTGGACTGTGGAATTTAAGCATGGCAGAAAGAGCCTTGACGATGACCCGCTCCTGCAAGGGCACCAACGCTAACCATTCCACAAAACATTACCTGGGTGATGACATGGTGATGGCTGATCGATGATTAACCACTTGACATATTGCCAGTGTTGTGGGCATCTCTCATGAGAGGGTTGAGCACACTATCACCAAGTTAGGAAACACAATAGTATCTGCAAAATGGTTGGTAAAGCCCTTGAATGTGGATCAGAAACATGTCAGATTCCTGACATCATGTGACAATCTGCGCCGTTTAAAGCAGAATCTGACTCAGGTATTTAAAATAGATTTGAAGGTACGAGAAAAGAAAACTGATAGTTACCTTGACAGTTTTAATTCTCGTAAATTTGGGCTTCTTTGCAAACATGTAGTAACTGTATCTGGACTAGACTGTAAATGTCCACCACTAGATGATAAATTTATACCCAATATATTATCACTTATACCAGTCAACTTTAAGAATATATCATCTGTTAATCTCTTTTGTTCCTGTAGATTTACATATCTCCACAACGCTGGGTCCATAACTGATGTGTACCAGTATCTACACACACGACTAGCACGACATAATAAGTCATAAAGAGGGAGATAACTGAACACATGTACCAAAACTGGTATGGGCAATATATTATTATAATTCTTAGAATCTGAATCAATCTGTACATCTATTTGAAGACCACTGTCTGTGCTGGTAGTAAATGATTTCATATTTGCTAGAAGTGTTTGTTTTGATCGAAATAATGAATTTGATTTTGATGATGTTGGACGAGCTGTCTTTTCGACTATGTAATGATTAGATCGCTTTCCAGAGTTTATAGGAGCGGTCCTAGAAATTTTTCGAGATCGGAAGTAATCCAAAAAGCGATTTGGATGGTGAGACATGGGATTCCCATTCGAGTGATTCACATTTAAACCATCAAATCCACCTCTGTTTCGTGAATATCGTCCATGGTGTGCACTATTATTAACCTTTTTCATGGCCAATATGGATCCCGTAGATGTGGTGTTTATATTTGAGATGACTTTACTATTTGTACAATATGGTTTGGTTGCATTACTACTATAAGCCATCTGGGTTTCTTGATTATTAATACCAATAATTTCTGCAGTACATGTATCTAATGTAGGCCTACTTGAGTGTTGCTGTTTATCACATTCTGGCTCACTATCTTCAGCCTCATCTAAATGTAATACACAAGAGGAAGCTTCAGATTTTTTGGGTGGACGAAAATTATCTTCTTCCATCCTTTGACCAATTGCAGGAATATCAAATATTTTACCACCAAATTCACAAGAGTTTATGTTTGAATTTGATGGATCATTTTGTTCCAATGGTCCATTAGGATTAATTTCTTTTTTCTCTTCAAACATGACACATGCTGTATCAACCATAACATTGGTATGGTTAGTAAGATTCTGTGTATTCTCCATGGCATCAGAACATATGTTTGTAGATACGGTTGGTATATTTTCCTCATTAAGCAGAGAGTTGGTTACCTCAAAATTGTCCATTTTACATCAGTTACATAATATAAAACCTATTTTTTTCTTTCGTTCTCAGATCACCATCACATTCTAGACCCTTCTCCTAAATTTCACTGACTGTCAGACTGTTAAAGAAAATAAACATTTGTAATATTACCAAACCATATATATAGTAATTGATTAATAAACTTATCCTTAAAGACCACATAAGATGAAAAATCTTTATTGCGTGTACTTAAAGCCAATGGTTACTACATCTATTCTATGGCAAGTTCAAACCAATCTCATTAAAATTAATTCAGCTATCAAGCAATTAGCGCATTTATCAGTAATTTGGATAACCATGTAATACTTGATATCCCAAACTATTCTCTATAAGTACAGAAATACAAATGATGCCAGTCATTTGTCGATATATTCATTATTAGCTATATATAATAATAATAATAAGCATTTCGATACACAAAGAACAACTTTTATCGTAACTCCATTTGAAATTCACAGCGAATATGGAATTTTCCGATGACTATGCATAACAATAGATCGCCCTCATTCCTCAGCCAATCAACCCCGGGAATCTTATTAAGATGTACGGTTCCATGCATACTACGGGTGTAGTAACTGAGGTTAAATTTTGGCACGAAAATTGCATGGGATTCATGGACAGGAATATCAAATACATGTTATCATACGTGGAATTCCTGATGCCGTTTGGTGAGTGATTAAACTGATACATTTTGCATGACCACATCTATTTACTCCTGTACTGTTTAACTCGGGGAAATTAGAATAACAATACTCTTCTGACAGAAATGTATCTAGAATCGTTTGGACTGCACACGATAGTAGAGGGACTCTATCAAAAAGTCACTTTAAAACACAGTTTTAAAATCGCTGTCGTGAGAAGAGAGGGTGGGACATTATAAAACAAATTCTAAATTGGATCTTAAATTAAAATAAATTACAAAACAAATTATTTCGTAGTCAGTTGTTTTATTTAACTAGGGGATTAAGGAATCAGTCAGGCGTTAATGAATACACACACTGGCCGTATATAGGTAATTAAGGAATAAACATTCCGAATATGCATTTTAATCAGATTGATGTTAACTTGCCTTAAAGTGCAAATAGTAACCATTGGCTACACGTACCGAAAAGTTTCCTTGTCCATCTTATGTGCCCCTTAATAAAATAATAAATATTATATGAAATTGCCCACTCTCTAAATATGAGGAATTGAAAATCATGCAACATTTGGCATAGGATCTTCAACAAATTATAAAAACCCGATAATGGTCAAAACGGACCTAAAATTCACAAAACGACTCAAGTATATTATGGTCAAAATGTATCTTAACATACATCACTAGATTTTGGGCTGTTTTGGTTTATGGCTGCTTTGTCTACACACATGCACTGGTATAACTTTGGGGTGTTAGACTATATAATGAAGCGGAGGCTCTTAATACTTATAAAGATGTTCAACCCAATTCATTTATATCCAAAATGAGTTTTAACTCATGTTCATACTACAAAATAAACAGTTTAGTAAAAACAGTTTCAGGTCTATATGTATGGAGCCGAATCGTTGCCATATTAAGAGAAAATATAATAGTTAAAATTGACAAATCATCATTGTCAAAAAGGTACAAATTGCCATTTTCAAGATTTTTTACTTGTAAATATTACATAACACAAAATCACTATATTAGTATCAAAACAAACCAAAAAATCTAGTTATGTTTTTTCACTTTCTACTTTTTGCCCTTCCAAATTCACTGTAACTTTTTCATCTTTGCATTTTCAACTATCAGAATTTCTCCATTTTATTTTCCACCACCAAATTTTCTTCAATCGAACAGACAGAGGACTAGTTCCGAGTTCAGCCGAAGTTGGCGTTATAATATTAGACGTCAGTATTTATCGTGCCGGCTAAAATTACTGCTCCATTGGGTTATTCATAACTCTTAAGAATTGTCCGATTTTATTTATTATTTTTTGGAGAAAAAAAAATGAAATAAAAGTCATTGTCATGTCGAACAACTATTTGTTTAATGACTTATATCATCGAACCTTGAGGTTGGCTCATTGTCTTAATAGATCGTATGAATCTTTGACAGCACATCGACATGGATGTGAGCGAATTCCTGGCATTATATCTGAAAGAGGTGTCTGGCTGCCTTAATCAATTACAAAAAGCTTTACAATTATTAGACGATGCAATAAATTGCAAACAAGGCAATAAGGACATGGTAGAGAGTATCATGTTTCGTCAGGAAGAGTTGATCTGCCAAAGTTATTTATTCCACAAGAACAGTTACAATATTTAGTTGATAAAGATCTGTAATTTGTGGAAAATAAAATAATTAAAAAATAAAATATCCCTGAAAAGAGGTATGAAATATTGTTATCACTGGGTCGGTTTCCCAGAATATTTCAATTTACCTTCTCAATCGATCATGATAAGCTACGGTAGTTGTGATCGCAACACATGCAACACAGCCTATACCTGTCCACTTTCAATATTAAAATCTAATAGATTATGTATTTGTCATCAAACATGAAAGTAAAGACATAAATTATTTGTTCTTTTCACATTGACTGGGGTTAAATAATGCAAAACTAGAAACAAAATTTATACAACTAGAAAAAAAAGTTATATTAATTAAAATACAAGTCGGGCCTACTTAGGCCTATATACGCCTCTCCGACAAGACTCAAGAGTTAAAAAAGCAACATGGTTGGATGGTATCATGTTATTAATTTGAATTTTATACTTTTGCAAAGTGGAATTTTTTAAAACAAGTACCCGGTAGCCAATATATAGGCCTAATAAGTATTATGTGGTCTCCAATAAATATACAGATGTGACGTCATCTTTTCATGTTCGTGTACTAGTACTTCAAGGGTTTGTATTGTGTAATTGTTTATGTGTGATGCTGTCCTCATGCTCTTATTATTCACTCAGCTAACCGAAGAACTCTGGATGCATTAGCTGCTTATATCAACGTAGATTTATGACATTGTGTGCCCATAGTCCCTATAAGGGAGCATTAATTTTAGTCCAGACGATAAAAACAGGTGAGTTATGGCGTCAACTTCGGCCGATCTCAAAAACACACCCCTTTCCTTATACGGTCAGTTAGATTGGAGAAATTTTGATAGTCGAAAATACAATGGAGAAAATACTATAGTTGAAAATGCAAAAATGAAAAATTTACAGGGAATTTGTAATGGCGAATAGTAGAGAGGGAAAAAACATAACTATATTTTTACATTCTTAATTTTTCTTGAGCAATTTTTGTTTTGATACTCATATAGTGATTTTCATGATGTTAAATATCAATTAAAAAGTGTTATGTTATATTTACAAGTGAAAAATCTCGAAAATGGCCATTTTTACCATTCTGACTATGATAATTTTGCAATTTTATTTTAACCATGATATTTTCTCTTAATATGGCAATGATTTGGCTCCATATATATGTGTCAAATCAGCTTTTTCTGATTAGAGAAAGACTTTAAGACGGAATGGTTTGATATTTTCTGAATTTTTGATTTGGGTGAATGCTAGGAGATGGGTTGCCAGGAAACAAAACATTCGCCCACAGCAGCTAAGTCGTCCGGGCAGTCCACAGGGGGAGCGGGGTCGCATATTTTTTCTTTTGTTGATAATGAAACATTTACAATGTCAATACACTAAAATCTAATTAAGAGTTACAACTCATTAGGTAATTATCAGAAAATCATTAGAATTTGTTTGGTCCATGATAACGTTTAGTATACAAAACATTTAATATTATAGATTTAGCTGTTCAAGTTATCAAAAATCATTGAAAATTAATATACAGTTTTACTTGTTTGTCTCAAGACCTTAAACTCTGTGTAGGCTACCATATCAATTTTAAAATCAATGGAATAACTTTTACCTGTAGCACATCCCCCCGATTTTTTGAGGTAATCAAGGGACATAAATCAATAGGCCTCTTTGTCGCATAAACGTAAACACAGTGTATTAATTTAGGGCCCTAGAACTTCCACAAGATTTTTCAAAGTGATTAAGGGTCATAACTCTGGCAGTAATTACCAAAAATTGTTGGAAATCAATAGGAGAGAGAGATAGAAATGGGGTTTAACGTTCACTCGACACAAACTAGGTCATTTCGGGACTAACATAATATGGTTTAATTTTATTTCAATAATTCACTTGCGCATAGGGGTCTTTAGCAGTGGGAGGAAACCGGAGGACCCAGAGAAAACCCATGAGGTTGGACAGGCGGGAAATCAATAGGATTCTTTGTCTCACTGTGTTTGAATTTAAATTCAATCCGATATTAACTTGAGCCTCTACAGCATCCACAAGTAATAGTGGACACCGGGGGCAACAGCAATATACGAACACACCTTTCAATGTGGGCATATAAAAATCTTTTCCTTTGAGTATGATTAGGAATAGGATTTCCAGTCCACATTATTTTAAATTGTTTTTTTTTTTTCATTTATTGCCTCGGGTCACATTTCTCAAATGATATCAAGACTACCGAAAGACTTATTTCTAAAATCTATTATTACTATTATTATTGTGAAGATTTATCTTATCTAGGCCCTACACACAGCTTGAGCTTAATATCATCCAGTCTTCGACATTGAAAATACAAATTTTTTGTCAATTTAAATTCAACATTAATGTTGTGATCTTCCCAGGAAAAGATGGGCTTCTGATATCCGATATTTAAGATAAAATAAACATTCTACCATTGGTACACGAATTGTGCACCATAATGCATTTCAGCGCCATTTGTAACAAGGAAGTCTACTCTAAGAACGAGGCTAGACATATTCCACAAGTCATGTCAAACGGTGATGCTATATTCTTATATGGAGAGCATGCGCAATAAATACTATTGGTGTAGACTGGAATAACCAGACGCTAGAGATTGCCATTCGATTGAGACCTCTGGCGTATTTCGCCGAACACGCTGATTAGAAATAGTAAAAACAGAAACGATTGAATGTAAATCAGTTTATATACATTCATATTACATTATTATATGCGTTGCGACCCATTTATGTCAATTTCTTGGTCCCAATTATTAGCGATTTAGCTCCTTTAAATTAAATTTCGAAAATTAGCTTTAATAATTTTTATAGGCCTAAAAACAAAAACATTTATTAAACAAGTAGATCTATAATTTATAAACTAACTACCGGTGTGCATAATGGTACTCAAAGGTGTAAAACAATTTACGTCATAATTTTTCCTCCTGATCATCTGATATAGCTGTTCCCTTTTTCTAGTTTATTTATAAATGTACTTTTGGTGGAATCGGGTTGCTGCCTCCTGCCCTGATGACCTGGAATTTGGATTTTTAGACCAAAAAGTTTAATTCTTTTTCCTTGAAAAACATATTACCCCGGCTTTGCCATATTTAAAATTAGATGGTATATATTTTCAATCAACCTGCTGACTGTCAACATAATATAACAAAAAATAGTATATCTGAAGAGGTGTTTAACAACTGAACTGTAATTTCCTTAGTCTTGTGGTAAGCCATTTTTTGTCAATAGTGTGAACTGACGTCATTTCTTTAGGAGCGCAGTTATTCGTGACGTAGTCACTCGATCTAAGCGGAAGTATTTGTGACGATTGGAAGAGTTGTGAGAAAAATATGTTTTTATTTGGACCTAACAAACGATATCTGTACAAATTATTTCCTTTCCACAGTATTGTAGTTGAAGTTTATAACTGTAAGTAGCTCATTATTTGCTGCAAAGATAAAATCATGCCCATCTAATTATAATAAAATCGCCTTACTTCAATACTTGCAAAGGAGATCGAGGGCAAGTGATTCTTTATATTTTTTGGCAGGTCTTTAGTTGTATACTAAGCTCTACAAAGGCTATACAAAGTCTCATTAAAGGACCTAAGTCCGTAACTCAAAATCCTCCAAAATCTTCGACATCGAAAACACGAATTATTGGTCAATTTAAATCAACATTGATGATGTAAACTTACCGGGAAAAGATGAGCTTCTGATATCCGATATTAAGATATTTAAGATAAAATAATTTTTTTAACATTAATGCACTTCAGCCCCAGTTGTATTGAGAGACTCGAGGGACGGGGCTAGACACATTGCACCAAATCAAATGGAGTTATGTAGACTAGAATAACTAGACGCTAGAAATTTGCACTCGATTGAGATTGCTGACTTATTTCGCAGAACATAACTGATTTGAGATTGGAGTAAAAACGGAAACCATTAAATGTAAATCAGTTTATATACATTCATATTACAGTATTATATGCGTTGCGACCCACTTTTGTGAATTTCTAGGTCCCAAATGTTAGCGATTTAGCTCCTTTAAAAAAAAAGCCGTGGGTAGGGCCTATCTTATTTCTTAGAATTGACTGCTCCATATCACAAGTTACAAAGACCCTCTAAATTGTACTACATGTACATATTGTATATTATATGATTTATAATTAAAAATATTATATTTTGTATAGGCTATTATTATAGGCTATTTATAATTATTGTTGTTGACATTGTACTAAAAACTAGCAATTATGTTATATAATATCCACAGCCAGGGGAATTTCTTTGTTAAGCAGCTCGCAAATAGCTTATTCCAGTGGCCAGAGGTGTATATTCCAGTGGCCAGAGGTATATATTTTGCCGAGGGATCACGTGGCTAAGTGGGTAAGACACTGGCTCGCTAGCCTGGAGGTCGGGTGTTCGATCCCTGCATTGGCCGAGAAAGTGCATTCAGATTTTCCGGCGTGGTTTCCCCTTGTCAGTGATGCAGGATGGAGGGCCGGACAAGGACAGCTGTCTAGTCGTTGGGATGGGGCGAAATACCGAGGTCCTGTGTCCACATTGGCGTGCACGTAAAAGATCCATTTGCAGTTGGAATTCGATATAAGAGTAGGCTGTAGCGCCGCTGCCCGGCAAAATTTCCCTCATAGCACACTGTATGGCGTACGCCCGTCTTCATTAGCCCAGGTAAGGAACAGAACAGTAGGGCGTTAAACCTCATTTCATTTCATTTTGTATATTTCGCCCAAAAAAATTTTACGCGGAAAATAGGCTACTCACGTAATGAAAGATGTCATTTGATAAATTGCATTATAAATGCATGCATGTCTTATGATGATTCATATTCAATTATCATTGAACAACAATAAAACTCACTGACAATAGTGACAAACAAAAAGGGTCCAGTTATACAATATCAAAGGAGGGGGGGGGGGAGATAGCCAATGTAAAAAAGTAAAATCTTTGAAAAAATTAGCGGCAAGTGTAATAGTAAAAAAATTTGACAAAAGATAGCCAAGTAAAAAAGTAAAATGCTTGAAAAAAGATAGAAAACTAATATAAAATATAACATTTCAGGAGTTAACAGTGTCCTGATTCTGTTTGTTTCTTCAGATGGAATAGAAAGAACTAATAAAAGCGCAGTAAAAGACTTGATTTTACAATTAGGGCATGTAATTGTGGACATGGGTACTAATAATTGGAAACAGCAATTAGCACCATATTTTTTATGATTGTCTGATTTAGGGTTTGAAATAGGAAATTTAAGGCATTGTAAAAATTCAAGTGAACCTTTTGTAATAATAATAATAATAGTTTATTCACAACTAGTTGAAGTACAAGCATGAGTATGGAAATTACAACAAACATTGGTAGTATCATTATCATTTCCTTCTTTGATTGGCATTTAGTAATTGAACTTATTATTTATTAATACAAGGTACAGTTTTATGGATACACAATTACTGAGTTTGATACTAAGCGACGTTTCAACGAGGATACTCTGGTCTTTATCATTTGCTTGGTAAAGACCAGAGTATCCTCTTTGAAACGTCGCTTAGTATCAAACCCAGTAATTGTGTATCCATAAAATTGTACCTTGTGTTATTATCATTTCCCTTGACATATTTAATGTCAATAAACTCATTTGTAGCCATATTATATGTTTGATTTAAAATTTCCTAGTTACTAATTTAAATAATCATTCTGCTTATTGAAAATATTAATAACAAAATTTAATATTGATAATATGTATTTACAGTATATAATTTTTATAATACAATGTATACATACAGTACATGGCAGTGAGCACTGAGTATCACAAAAAATGGGAAAGAAATGATGACTGAAATATTTTGGGTCAGCCATAATGTAATCTCTACTATTGATACTATTGAATTCAATATAAAATGTCCTTTATTCTCCATATAATGGCACCTACAAATTTGTAATGTGAGTAACATTGTAAATACATATGTAAAAATGAAATGAAATGGGGTTTAACCTCCTACTGTTCTGCTCCAAACTGGGCTAATGAAGTGTGCTATGAGGGAAATTTTGCCCGGACAGCGACACTGCGGCCTACTCTTATATCGAATTCCAACTGTCAAGGGATCTTTTATGTGCACACCAATGTGTACACGGGACATTGGTTTTTCGTCTCATCTGAACGAATAGACAGTTGTCTTTGTCAGGCCCTCCGTCCTGCATCAATGACAAGGAGGAACCACACTGGAAAATCGGGATGCACTTTCTCGGTAAATGGCATGCAATGATCGAACACCCAACCTCCAGGCTATTGAGCCAGCATCTTACCCACTTAGCCATCGTGATCCCTACATATGTAGAGTAACGGTGATTAGTACAGATTACCTGTATATATTTAAGTATCGTAAAATAGTCTTTATTTAATAAATCTGTATAATCTGTTTTCATTTGAATTATTTAATATTTATATATCTTTGATCATTCAGTAAATAAAATTGATATTTTTACAAATTTTACAACTGACTTATTAATACTAGAAAAAATAAGTTGATAAAATGAATTTTGATTTTAACATTTTCGAATCTACTGTTGACAGGTAGCCCTTTGGGTAATATTTGTGTTATTTTATGATATATATATAACATCTTTTTTCTCTGGCCTATTTCCCCACAACATCACAAAATACCTTTTAAATCTGCTCCAGTAATTTCTTCTACTTCACCTAGACATACCCGTAACTGATATTCATAGTATACTCTACTACCAGCAATAACCATTCATATATATGTAATTACTGGAAGGTTTAAGTTCCCACAAAAGTATTCTTAAAACAATTTTTTAAATTATCTTTTGTTAATAGATGAGGCACGGATAAATTATCTTTTAGACCGTGAAATCTACAAATATCGGGAATAGCCTTACATTGTGAAAACTGAAAAGTCATTTCTAATACAGTGGACTCTGTCACATCCGACATCGTGTGGGATCGTTACAATAATTCGGATCACACAGCGTTTCGGAATACCGAGCTTTCTCCAAAACCGGAAATACTGTAACTTCGAAAACCGGAAGTATTTTTATATTGTAGCTTCGAATCACCAGAATGCTATTCCCTTTATAAATGATAAACTTTTCTGTACTTTCAAAATTTTATTATATTAAATAATTAACAATAACAATGCATGCGTACAATACATTATATTCATAAAATCGTTTACATGTAATATCAATGCATGCGTACAATATATTTATAAATATCAATGCATGTAATCGTTTAAAGTAGTTTGCTTAGTTAAGATTACCGGAAGCATATCGTAAGGCGGAGTCCTGGGCAACATCTTCTAACAAATGAATTGTTGCGAATAGGTCAAGTCTGTCGTTAGTATATTCTTCATCGTCCCCGTCTTCAGTCAATTGTCATTTATAATCTGTCGTTCTATGTCCAGTTTTTCAAGCCAATCAAAGTAAACGGCACCTGTCATCCACCTACCGACCAATTGACTGGCAGGTAGATCTTGTCCACTCCCTTAAAACAACTCAGGTTCACTGCTTTACCGATCAAAGTAATCAACACAGTTTTAATCTCACCGATAATTGATTGGTGATTACTTGTTAATCTTTTCTGACTTCACACCCATTGAGTTTTAATCTCACCGATAATTGGATGCTTCACACCCACCGTTTGAAGTACATGTACGGATTATACGGTGTCGATTCAATGGAAATTATGTGACGGGACGGCTGATTGATTTCGGAATCTGGAACATACAGAATTCGGATTTACCAGCGATTTTTTGGCTGAAGTAATAAGGAAATAAATCGGGACATGAAAATCATACCGGATGTCACAGCCATCCGGAGTGATCAGAGATCGGATGTGACAGAGTCCACTGTACATGGATATTCTAAGGTATTTCCCTAGCAGCTTTGACAAATTTGTAACAATGCAAGACATTTTCTTTGATTAACCTTTTCCCAAAGAAACCACTTCACTCACACAACCCCCAATCATCTACTGGACTTTTTACATGGGAAGTAGCAGAAAATTTAAACAGGCATTATATAAATCTGTCTTTTGCAATAAATTATTAATGAGGGATTTAATAACACAACAAGACCATAATCAACTCTCGATGCCATCGTATGACTCTGATTTTGAGTAGATAAGATATTTAATTTAAAAATGGAGAAATGAGGCTAAGACTCGAATGACCAGTACATTGGTTACGACTAATGCACACATCTTCTTGTCAATACTATAACCATTGA